TTGACTATTTTAACGTCTATTTTTAATATTATAGAAGTGGCACAAAATTTTTTTTTTTAATATATAAAAATTAAAATTCTAATTCAATCATAGTAATATTTTTCAAAGGAATCTTAATATGTAAAATTACACTATTACGAAACACTCTGTGGAATTAAGGATATTTTTAAAGTGTGTATGTTTCGATTAATGCCTTATTTTCAATTTTTTTAAGATTTTTTTTAAAGACACACATCGCCAGCCGAAATCGTTTAAAAATGTATGTATCTTCAATCAGTCAATAATCAATCTTTTTTTTTTTTTAATGACCTGCCACTATTTGCTATTTATGGATTGTTTTGAGCTTCAGTTAAGCTCTAAAAAGAAGAACTTAACTGAAACTGTTAGTAACCGTTCTTCTTCTTCTTTTACTTCTGTTGGCGACGACTGCTAGGATCATTCGGCCATGTTCGTAACTGCTGATTTCAGTTAAACCCTGAAGAAGAAGAAGAGTTTAACTGAAAAAGTTTCAGTTAAGTTTTAAAGAAGATTTACGTAGTTCATTAACAAATGAGTCAATAATCCCATTAATAAGAGTCTCATTTGATGTAATTATAAACTCTGCTGCTCCCACAAATAGAAAGAAATACCTGGTAAAAGCGATCTGGGCGATCTAAATGTTTTATCAATATGTTAAAGTGTGCTTTATCACCCCGTTATTACTAACATGGATCTGGCAATCCTTTTTTTTAAACATTTCAGAAATATAGATAAGTATCTAATGTCGTCAAATATATTAGAACGGTTTTTAAAGTGCGTTGCTTGTATTTTATTTTTACTACTCGTGCGGCTTACGTTGCAAGTTCCGAGTACGGTTAATATCCGAAATCGGAATCTTTATACGCCAAGAATAGTCTGTGAATTCCAAATTGATGCTTTCGTATTATACCAACTCTAATACGAATTCTGCTAATTTAAAAGACCGAAGAGCGCAAGCCGTCTAAGCAAATTCCCGCTGAATTCGTAATATTTTGAAACGAATTCTTCGCAATACCGTGCTCAGAAATTCGAGGTTTTGTTGTCGGTTGTATGCCCGCTCTCTCATCTATGATTTAAATATGCCCGAAATTGAATTCCAACAGTGCCGCATGTAATGCGGAAATTTGACATTCATTCTTTAAGAGAGACAGAGAGACAGAGATTTGAATTTCCGTACTCGAAGATGAGACCGAACGCCAGGCTGAGGAAATTGCTTGTTTAGTTTTTCTATCCGCGTACATACATGATTTTTGTGCACAACGTTGTGAGGAATCGTTAACACAAGTTAGATAACTCGCTTTTAAGTTCGTCAAAACTTTCCATTTCATTCGATCTCTCCATTTTTGGGGATGCTATTATAGCAATAGGTATGGGGGTGTTTCAAAACGAATGGGCCATAGAATATTTGTCAAATAAATCTATTTCCTAAAGTCAAAAATTACGGAGCTACAGTGTGATAAAAGTAATTTTATTTTCTGTTTTTTCATTACTTTATTACGTTCACAATTTTTGATATAGGCCCAAAATTGGCATGAGTGGCTTTTGGGGATGAGACATTAGATGATTCAATCAGTTTTGCAATAACTTGTACATGGCGCCACCTGCACACACTTTCGTGTACCGTTTCAGTAAAAAGTATTACAATTCCTGGAAATTGTCACTTTGTTACCCGATATTTTTGTTTCAAAAAGAAAAATATCAGTACTTTACTTATTAGTTAGTTTTCTGTCTTATAAAAGTAAAGTAGGCTTTAACCGGTTTTTGTTCAGCAAACAATTAAAATTGTAGGAGGCATAGTACGTTATAATTTTGACAGTTATGTGATATTTCAAAGTTATTATTTGTTTTAATTTTTCGTTTATATCATTTCGTTTTCAAATACCAGAAAGTCTTGCTGAATCCTGATCTGCAAACAAGAAGAAATGTTTTTACCTTTGTTCGAAACCATCAAAATGAAGGCCCTAGTTTTATTAACAAAATATTATAAATATTTAGAGGTATTTTTAATTTTTATAACAGACATTCGTGAGAATTGTAAAATCTTCATTTGATATGGGAATGGCGAATTCGCGATAAATGCGGGGGCAGATATAATAAATAATTATGTACTAGGACCATTTGAATTACCCCCAAATATTGATGCCGGGTGATTTGCCTTTGGCTATAAGAAATAAGAAATGAGAAGATACTTTTGTTTGACCTCCTTTTGCACTAATTGTAAGAAATTAAATTAATTTAAATTTTCCCCATAAATGGATTGACAGAAGAAGACCGCTTCTTGAATGGTCTGCACGTAATCCGGATTTTAATCCAATGGATTTTTGTTTCTGAGGCTATATTACATCAGTGCCTTACAAAGACCCAATAAATTTTGGCAGAAAATTCACAATAGAAAATTAATTTTTTAAAATTAGTCAATCACATTTTGTTAAACGAATTTTGTTTTCTCTTTGATTTGATTAAAATTATGTCTAGCAAAATTTGCCTTATTTTGATTTTTCATTAGTAATAGTAATTAAAAACACTATAGGTTGTTTTTGTTTTTAAAATTTTTTTTTTTGCGGTATTCACTCGCAAATATTAGTAAGTTCATTTTCGATATTAAATTAATAGCCACCTATTATATAATCTACAAAGGGTTACATAGCAATTTAAAAATATAAATATATTGAAAATGGTTTAAAATATAGATATTGAACATTAATATCTCTTTTACCGGAAAATTTGCAAAAAAGTGTGTAGAGTTCGCACCATCTACAAGTTATTGCAAAACTGATTACACCATCAAATTTTTCATCCCCAAAAAACCACCGCAGTCCAACTTTTGTGCCTATATTAAAAATTATGAACGTGATAGAGTAATAAAAACGAAAAAATTACTTTTATCACCCTGTAGCTCCGTATATGTAATTATATTTAGGTAGATATTATTATTAGTTGAAAACATGTGGCTATATGTATACTAGTTAAAGGAGCCTTATTACCATGCTGATGAGACAGACACTTTTGAAGCCATCATCAAATGTTGGAAAGCGAGATGCGCATGCGTAAGCGGCTTCAACCAATATTAATAACTTACGACGTCCAATAATCAACATGGCCGTTGACAGTTCGTCGATTCTCGTTATAATATGCCCTGGTCGCAATAAATTTTCAAAGAACGTGTTGCATGCTGGGTAAAAAAAGTGTATACCTCCGTTATTGGTTATAAACACTCCGGAAATACTTTATAACTTCACAATGTATCGAGATCGGATTTGTTACGTGATACGTGTGTATCTTTTGTAAACCGAAAATTGCTTGCGGGTTCCTATAATGTAAACGCGTTAGGGCACTCGCACATCCATCAAAGTCATCCACAGACCTAGGGGGCTGAATACGAGAACGCGTCTGTTTAGGGCCAATATATTAGATAAGCGGTTAAAACGTCGAAGCAATATTATATTGTTCATACGTAACTCACTAATATCGATTTAATCATTTCTCTAAATCGAATGGAGAAATAATTCTATTAAAACCAGCACAAATAAATATTGAAACAACATATTTCATTGAACTCATTACTTGAATATGTTTTGAGTCAATAATCAATCGCAATAAATCATCTTGAAAAATAATAAAAACAAAGAATTTTTAAGACACTCAACGGTCACATACCGTTCATGCTGCTATGTTTAGGGGTTGTTATGGAGTTTCTTAATTATATTTTGCTTCTCTAAGTAGTATAAGGCCCACGTAAAGGATTATCGAAAGATGAATAGAGGACAATAATTATTTGCCGTCGCTGACGGGGATAAAGTTGAAGAAACTTTAAAGGAGATTTAACTTTCATTTTATATCGCAACTTCGGTATCAATTAAGAGACAAAGGGGATTAAAATAAGAGCAAAATTTCGTCCCGAACCTTAATTACGGAATGATGCAAATTTACTAACCAAAACTAAATCCCGACGAAACAAAAGCAACCAGCCTGTGGCCATATTCAACTTTGTAATACAAATTTATAAATTCCCAAATTTGTCACCTTGTTTTATCCGAAAATAAATAAAAACTTGGAGTGCACACGAAAAAGTTAAAGAAGTGGAAAAAATCCTTTTTTATGAAAGCTTTTACTTGCTTTAACAATAAGGGTCGCAGTGCCTGACGTTTGCTTTTGTATATAGGGTACGAGAAAAAATTAAAATTTACTAATTTACAAATATTCAAAATTTCGATTTAAAACGAAAACATTTAACATTCACAGTCTCATTATCACCTATTTTATTTGATTGTATCTTTCATAACTATGATGTATGTGCAAGAAAAATGTTGATTTTTCAATAGAGAATATTTCTAATCCAAAATGACAGAATAGTAATGATTGTATTCAACGAAAAATATTTTGGATATTGCACATTGAAATTAACAAAAGACGTATGGACCTAATCTTATATTTTTAAAACTTCCCCCCGTACTCTAACAATCTTTGCTTGAAAATCTGTAATGTTATGTATTTTGAAATTTAAAATATTTGTGTTAACATTTTGTGTTTAAAAAGTAAAAAGACCGCTTCACTCTCTAGTAGATTTTATGTTTTTGATTTTTTTTTCGTACCTTATATAAAAAAAAAACAACAGATATTGTGAACCTTTTTTTTTAAGTAAAGAATATAAAGAATTACTTTTTTCCGTATCTTTCACTTTTTAGTATATTTGCTCCCTTGTCTACTCCATCCGTCGATATACTTTATGTATTGAAGTAAATATTGTCAGTTTTATTTTTATATTGATTTTTTTTTATTAAATAATAGTGAGTAATAATGTATTAGTAATAGCGTATTCCTCAGTTCTGTTCTTGGTACGTGGCATATAAGCAACTCGTGACGTTTCAAGGTTCGATCGTTGTTGGAGGTTTGATGCATCCTTTCGAATATAGGTTTAATCAATGACGTGACAAAATATATTCCTTGCAGTTCTCTGACCAAAATGTTTACCATGGGTAAGGTAAAAAATGTTATTCATTTCTTTCAAAACATTGCTAGAGAATTTGCCGATTTGTGTAAAAAGTCGGTTTTGTTTGAAAAAATTCAATACAGTTTCGAATAAAATGACTTGGGAGAATGTTAAACAGAAGTTTCTGTCGATGAGCATCGAGGAAAAACGAAAAAATTACAAAACATCGCATATAGAATTAAAAGATATTCCCACTTGGAAGGATTATTACCAAATAAATAAAAACAAGCTGTCGAAAAAAATTGCTCCGTTGCCGGGAAATAATATCGACAATACGAAAAATGAAATTTTGTTAGATAAAATTTCTGTGTATCGTGGTGATATTACCAAGTTGGAGGTACTTCATTATTTTCTGGAATTTCCAATCTATTATTTGAATTTTGTGCAATGAACATTTTAAGTAATTATATAAGTTTACTCTTATTTTATCTGGATTCTTTTTTTATTAGATTGATGCAATTGCAAATGCAGCTAACAAGTCCCTTCTGGGCGGAGGAGGAGTAGATGGTGCTATTCACAGAGCTGCAGGTAAAACTTTGGTAGAAGAGTGTCGAAGTTTGATGGGTTGCGAAACTGGAGAGGCCAAAATAACAGGAGGATATGCTTTACCAGCAAAATGTAACTATTATTACCAAATTATGAGTTATTTTCATTTCTGTTTCTATATTTATATAATGCATGTTTAAAAGCTTTTTTACAATAGGTAAATATTATACAAACATGATTATTTTTAGATGTAATTCACACAGTAGGACCACGAGGAGAAAAGCCAGATTTACTTAGAAATTGTTATTTAAATTGTTTAAAAGTTCTTTTGGAAAATAATTTAAAGTCCATTGCATTCCCTTGCATTTCAACTGGAATTTATGGATATCCTAACCTCCAGGCATCCCATGTTGCTGCATACACAGTTAGAAAATTTCTTGAAGAACACATCAACAATATTGACAGAATAATTTTCTGCATATTCTTGGAAGAGGATAAAGATTTATATGAAGGCATATTGCAGTCTTACTTTCCTGTTCAATAGTGTTATTTTACTTACTTTTGGTTATGTGTAATTATTTTGTTTTCCAACTTTTGTTGCTAATAAAGTAAATTTGAATTGCTCTTTTTCTGCATTTCTACACAACCCAGAAAATATTTTGGTTGCTTTTATTTTTATAAAACAGTCCCGTATTCATATAGTTATTTGCTATAGGTACAGAGGCAAATGAACTTTGATTATAAAAAGAAAATTTTTCAAAAAAAAAAAAGTTTTTTTTTCTTTGAAATATAGACATACAAATAGTAACTGCTGACGTCAGCTATTAAAGCGAGGTTATAGATGTATCAGCAATTGGTTTATTTAAAATTCGACCAACCAAAACAGCATTGGTTCTAATCTCTGGCGCTTTGCGTTTATTTATTTTTTTTTTCATTGCGCATGTCACTCAGGGTTTCAGGTGGGGGGAAAAAGGTGAAGTGTGAAAGAACGGCATCGAAAATAATTCTGTTATCGTTTCATCTGGAAAAATATTTAATGAAAATAACTCTGAACATTAGCAAAGGTGTTTAATCTGTGAAGAAAACGTGCCTGATTATGGCATCAGACGAGGAAGTCGACGAGTCTTTTACCGGTGAGTTTGTTTTGAAATGCTTCCGATTGGGATATGCCAAAGCCGAATTTAAAATTCTCATATTTAGGTTTTAAATAATGAGTTTGTGGTGAAAACAAAGTTAGGGCCACTTTAAAATTTCTCTTATCGTTTATGTAACGGCAGTTAACCACGGGTGGTCGAAATTTTCTGTGAAAATGCATAATTATTAACTTGCAATCAGCTAATGGTGCGGGGTGAGGGGTAGACGGATTTTCATTATTTTTGTGACAGCGCGGGCATATCCTGACCCTTAACAAAATGGAGGCTATCAAACAAAGAGATTGGCAGTTCGCGAATAAGTATAAAGATGTAATTAGGTTGTTTTTTACGCTTTTTGGGGTTAGAAATTTCGTATTTTCCCTCCAAACCGACGCGATAATGACACTGACCACTGTCCACATGGCACAAAAATGCGTTTTCTGAAATTAAATTTTCAGGAGAGAACGAAGATCTTCCCGATGATAACATAGGCGATCAGATTGATAACGAAGACGACGATGACGAACCAATTGTAAAAGGCGCAGTAAGTAATTATTTATAAAAATTGATGTGTGATCTAATTTTTGAAATGTTTATTTTATTTTTATCCCTCTCTTTCGTTTAAATTAATTTTGAACTTAGTATATTTTAGAGATAGTTATTGCTATTTTATTTTTTGACCTTTGGTGACAAAGTATTTTTTTATAAATCTGAATAAAGCTAGGATTGTGAAAAATATGTATAGGTGTAAGTTTCTAAAATGTCGATATTTTGTCTGTACTAGGATGAGGATGACGATTACGAGCCCGATGATTCTCGCAAAAAAAATAAGAAAGGTAAAAAAAGAAAAGCACGTGGTGAAGAGAAAAGGGGCAGGAAAAAAAAGAAAAAGAAGAAGAATGATAGTGGGGATGTAAGGATAACTAGTTGCCCTTTGGGTAGTTAATTTTTTAAATACTGGTTGTTTAGGAAAGTGATTTTGTGGATGAAGACAATGCAGACTCCGATTACAGTACTAACAAAAAATCCAGTAGAAAGTCCAGAAGTTTAAAACATACATCGGCACCAACAACGCCTTCCACAGAGTCCTCTTCAAATACAGGTAGTTGATTAATTATATACTGTTCATAGTTTGTATTGGAAAGTTATTTAATCTGGATGTACCGCAGGTATGCCTACAATAGAAGAAGTTTGCTCCACCTTTGGCTTGACTGATGTGGAAATTGAATATTCTGAGCAGGATATGCAAAATTTGACATCATACAAACTATTTCAGCAACATGTCAGGCCACTGTTAACAAAGGAAAATCCAAAGGTTTGTTGTGTTGTGCAACTTTATATAAAATTTTCTTAGCCAAAATAAAAATGATATTGAATTGTAGGTCCCGATGTCGAAACTCATGATGTTGGTGGCTGCCAAGTGGAGAGAATTCTCAAATATAAATCCCAACTTGCAATCAGATAATAATGAAGCAGGCACCCCAGCTCCATCCAATGCATCTTCAGAAGATACTTTCCCTAAACCAAGTAGATCTAGAGCTTCAAAAGAGGCGGCCGCTAAATTTGTTGAGGCAGAATCTGAAGCATTTGAAGAAGATGATGAAGAGGAGGATGAAGATGATGGAAGGTATTAACTGCTGCAAGTTGTATATTATAGTCATAGTAAATTTTTGTCAATTGAATGTTTTAAACCGATACTTGATGCAAGTTGAAATCCATATTATTATTATTATTCTGCTTATAAATATATGACAGCCTTAGCAGACATTTGATTCATGTTTATGGTTCTGAAACAAACAAATTTGTTTTAGGAACAGAAAAAAACGGGGCAGGGCTTCCAAGAAAGCGTCAAAAAAAGCTTCAAAGGTTCCTACATTGAAAATAAAGTTGGGCAAACGTAGGCGCGGTAGTTCAGAAGAGGACGAGGCTAGCAACGGGGGCTCCGATAAGGATTCCGACGTCGAATTTGAGCAGATGCTTCAGGATGCGGACGAACCAAAATCTAAATCAAGCAACGACAACGACGCGGGCTCTTCCAAGGCCCCGTCCGAAGCGGCTGACGATACGCCCCAACCTAAACGCAAAGCCAAAACCAAGATTGGAAACAAGACTAAAAAGAAGAAGAAGATTAAACAGAAGGACGAAGAACCGTATGAAGTATGTTTTAGACATCTCAGCAAATGGTCTTAAATTGCTATATGACTATATACCCAACCTAGATGTTTAAAATTATTTCTAATTTTTATTCCTTTTAAATTTAGTCAACCTGTCAGTTAACTTCAGGTTCTGGCCTAAGTGTTTTGTTTAAAGGATCCTAAAAAATTCCAAAAACAATATAACAATACTTTCGAATTTTTTTATTTCTTGAACACGACAGGGTCAGAAGAAATACCAATATTCTCATGCTCATGCTTGAAATACAATTTTTAAATTGGTCCCAGTTCTTGGTATAGATCTTTTTCCTAAACGTATCATATTTATTTTGTTAAATATTCTTGCATTGGTAAAAACTTTTTTTTTGTTAATTTATTATTTCAACAATAGTTTAATAGGTCTCAGACAAATTTTCTTTTTGATTTACCAGCATCAGGATTACTGTGAAGTGTGTCAGCAAGGTGGTGAGATAATTCTGTGCGACACTTGTCCGCGCGCATACCATCTGGTTTGTCTGGAACCTGAACTAGACGAAGCGCCCGAAGGCAAATGGAGTTGCCCACATTGCGAAAGCGAGGGACCGGTCGATCAGGACGACGACGAGCACCAGGAGTTCTGTCGAGTTTGTAAAGATGGCGGCGAACTGCTGTGTTGCGATTCATGTCCATCAGCCTACCACACCCACTGTCTTAACCCGCCGCTGACCGAAGTGCCGGACGGCGATTGGAAATGTCCGAGATGCGGCTGTCCGCCCTTGAAGGGCAAAGTCGCCAAGATTCTCACTTGGAAATGGGTAGAGATCCAGCCAAAGGATAAGGTCGATAAAGATGAACCGAGACACAGACGCAGGGAGTTTTTCGTCAAGTGGCAAGAGCTGTCTTACTGGCACTGCAGCTGGATCACGGAGCTCCAGTTGGACGTTTATCATCCATTGACATTTAGGAGTTATACAAGGAAATGGGACATGGAAGAACCTCCCAAACTGGAAGAACCAGTCGATGAAGCAGACACTAGATGCGTTCGCTTTATGAAGATGGGTGAGTTTTTTTACTGTTTGAGAATATTATTATTGAAGAACATCAGTACCTGTTCACTAGGGTCATCAATATATCATAAATCATTTTCCGCCGTCCTTTAACATAACAACTGGAAATTGGATTATATCACAAAATAGCAAGAAAATATATAAATTTAATCCACTTAAAAATATTCTTCCCCTATGTTACAGGTTTTTATGGTTTTTATGGTTTTATGGTGCATCTTGCTTATTAATAAAGCTAACGTTCCACAGCTATCTGCAATCTTTAGCTACAGGGTGATTTTGAAAATGTAGCATTTTTAGACGCCCTTTGTGGTTCGCGTTAACTTATAGAAAGAATGCTTTGTATTTGAAATAGCACTTATATGATATATGTTTTTATAAAGCTAATAACAATAATAAAGTGTTCTATTAAGAAAAAAGAACAAGTTTATTTTACATATATATGTATTATATGGAATTTGATAAGAAATTGACTACGCCATTGGATGCTATGAAAAATAAAAACCCGAGCCAGATCAGTGGTGACTTTTCGATGCGTTAACGCATATCCAAACTACAAAGGGTTTTTGTATCTAAAAATTCGCGATAGGTATATTTCCGTTTCTGCCACCCGCAATTTCGTGAAAAAGTAGTCTCGGTTCACAAAAGCCTCATCTAGCTTTGTTAATAAGGGACATACGCCGTAAAACAATGACTTCTAATAACTCAGAGATATATGTCGAGTCCTAATATCGTGCATGTTCTTAGAGATAGACCATTTCAAAAAGTTAAGCATTAAGTATAGTCATGCTGGTCAAATGCTTGTGTTATGATAGGTTGAATATATATTAAAACAGTGATGGTTCTTTAATATACTTTATAACTTCTAAATGAATATGAAATAAGTGGTAGTATGCACAACTAGGAGCTTTGGAAAAAGAAACAGTTGACTCTTATTTGCGAAACGTTCATCAATTTTTTATAGGCGGTGCCAGGGATGATGAGCTGGAAGAAAAGTACTACAGATACGGTGTAAAGCCTGAATGGCTCATCGTGCATCGCGTAATCAATCATAGAACCATGAGGGACGGTCGAACTCTGTACTTGGTCAAATGGCGAGAACTGTCCTATGACCAAGCGACGTGGGAGGACGAAAACGAAGACATTATCGGTTTGAAGGCGGCCATCGAATATTACCAAGACTTGAGGGCCGCGTGCACCAGCGGTTCCGGATCGAAATCTAAGAAAAGTAAAGGGAAAAGCAAGTCGAAAACGCGCGAACTGATGGACGACGACGACCGGGTGACCCCTCGGCGTTTCACGCCGCCTCCCGACAAGCCGATAAGCGATCTTAAGAAAAAATTAGACAAGCAGCCGTTGTATTTGGACGAGTGCGGGATGCAGCTTCACGAATATCAGCTGGAAGGTTTGAATTGGTTGCGGTACTCGTGGGCGAACAACATCGACACCATTTTGGCCGACGAGATGGGTCTCGGAAAAACAATTCAGACAATCACGTTCTTGTATTCCTTGTACAAAGAGGGGCACTGCAAGGGGCCGTTTTTAATCAGCGTCCCATTGTCTACGATCATTAATTGGGAGCGTGAGTTTGAAACTTGGGCTCCAGACTTTTACTGTATCACTTATGTCGGTAAGTTAAGAATTGTGAAGACATTAAGGAAATAAATGTTAATTTTACCAAGTAAATTTAATAAGTTTTATGACTAAGTCACAAATGAAGTGAGGTAGTTCAAATGTCCCCGTAAATACGTGTCGATTAGACAAGTGAAGCTCTTGAATATTGGATATATCAAAATGAAAATGAAATTGAAACACGCCTAAGTAACTATAGATAGTATCAGTCTAACTTTGTATAAATTAAGTATATTAAATTTGGAAAAAATGTTAGTCTCACTCTGTGATAGAACAGAATTGTATACAATGTGTCCTAGGCAAGAGATGGAAATATGATTTTTTCTACATATGAAAAGTAAATTAAAATTGAAGTTGCATAAGATGCAGAAATAGAATCTATTTCAAAAAACATGCTCCAAGTTGGCTGGAGATTGATTCATCATCCAAAAAAAAAAATTTCATAAAGGTAGGCCCCGAAATGTTTGGTGTCCGGTATCTTGGTTATATATTTACTTTGATTAAGTCAAAAAAAATGAGTTGTTTTTGTATATCTCGTTTTCGGCTGAAAAAATAAAATTCATAAAAATTAACAGTTTTTTTAAATGCAGTAAAACTTGGTTCTAAAAATGAACACGAAAAGGACTACCATCAAGCTTTATTGTTTTGTAGTAAGGATTTTTGCACATCATTTTTTTTTAATATTTATATTTCCAAGCTTTAAATTATTAAAATAAATGAATATTTAAATATCTTGAAAACTAAGCACATTCTAGACTTACGTTTATATCTCCTCATCATCATGCTTCAAGATCAACGCATCTTTTAAGAAAATTTTAATAAAAATCAAAGTAACTTTTACTTTTTTTGAGAAATAGCTGCCTTATGGTATCGCTATCACAATAATTAATTAATTTGCTGAAATTTCATTAAAATTAAGGATAGGCAAGTTGCAAATAAGATGTTTTCGCGTATTATATTATAAAAAAAAAGAGCTATAAGGTATTAATTTGTCTGGCAGGTGATAAAGATTGTCGGGCAGTAATTCGAGAGAACGAGTTAAGTTTCGAAGAGGGGGCAATCGCAAGAGGCCGAGTTTCGCGCATCAGATCAAGTTCCATTAAGTTCAACGTTCTCCTGACCAGTTACGAATTGGTTACAATCGATTCGCCTTGCTTGGCGTCCATCGATTGGGCGGTACTTGTGGTCGACGAAGCCCACAGGTTAAAGAGCAACCAGTCGAAATTTTTTAAGGTGAAATTCGACGTTTGTCGCGCGATTCCTCGAAAAAGCATCGACCCCTCTGTCGTTTCAGATTTTGAGTAGCTACAGCATCCAGTACAAACTTCTGTTGACCGGCACCCCACTTCAGAACAACCTGGAGGAGTTGTTCCACTTGTTGAACTTCCTAAACCCTCAGAAGTTTAACGATCTGCAGATATTCCAGAACGAGTTCGCCGACATTTCCAAAGAGGACCAGGTGAAAAAACTGCACGAGATGCTGGGCCCGCACATGTTGCGTCGTCTGAAAGCCGACGTATTGAAAAATATGCCCTCGAAATCCGAGTTTATCGTGAGGGTCGAGCTCAGTCCGATGCAAAAGAAATATTACAAGTACATTTTGACGAGGAATTTCGCGGCGTTGAATCCCAAGGGCGGAGGCCAGCCCGTTTCTCTACTCAACATCATGATGGACCTGAAAAAATGCTGCAACCATCCGTATTTGTTCCCCGCAGCGGCGGAAGAAGCTCCCATCGGCGCCCACGGACAATACGACATTCAACATTTGACCAAGGGTATTTATTTATTTATTCTTTGTTTGTAAGTACACTTCTGCATATCTCCTGCGTTTCAGACAGCGCTTTAAAGAAGTATACCACCGCCGCCTGTGGAAGGTTCTTTGAATAATTGTTTATTTATTTATTTATTAACGCCCTTAATCAATTTCTAATCATTAAATATGCTAGGAATGATTTGTGGCATCAAGAAGAAGCGTTCAAATTATCTTCTTCTTCTTTCTATAAGGCTTTTGCCTTGTACTCTGTAGTCAGAGACGAGATGAGCTCCAGCTCCCATGCTAGCGTCCAGGAGGTCTGCTCGATCTTGGGAGACCATCTCTTGTTTTGCAACCATCATACAGTATCAAAGACACTGCAAAGTTCTCAGATGTCTTCGCTTCTTTAGTAGTCCCTCAGTGTGTAGCCTTTTATAGATCTTAGAGTTCTTATCTCTGCAGGTCTTATATATGCCAGTTTTACCTTCTATGACCATTTGTTTGTTTCGTCATATTACATCTCGCAGGTACCCTGCTTCTTTTTGGAGATCTCTGCTGCTCGTGACGCTGCCTTTGAGATAATTAAAACTCATGACCTGCTCTACAGGTTTATTGTATATGGCGTGAGCTCTTTTGATATCGTTAGTGATTTAGATTTTGCTACCGATATCTCCATGTTGCACTTGGAGCCGATGTTTTCGAACTTAAACAGCATTCCCTGTAGGTTGTCTTCATCTTCAACACGGCGTCATTCGCATAGCAGATTATCTTTATTTTTTTGTTCCCTAGTCGTTAGCCCTTTCCAATCTTCTTCACTTCAGATATTAGCTCGGCCATAATAAAAGGATAGGGCTCAGACTGTCGCCTTGTCTTATTCCTGTCTGCATAGGTATTTTGCGTGTTTTTCAGCCCTCCACTTATATTTGAGTCATATTTTCGGTATTTAACTCAACTACGATCTTTATTAAGTCTGGGTGCACGTTCTTTTTCTTAAGAAGTCTGACAACGTCAGGGAGTCTTACGTGGTTAAATGTTTTTGTAAGATCAATAAAACACATATACCCTATTTATTGTATTCTATAGGCTTTTCAGCAATCTGCCTGGTTGTAAAAAATCGTTGACCTACTTTTTCTGAAGTCTTGTTGCTCTTCAAACAGCCCACGAGAAGATATTTCGTCCGACGAGATTTTGGTGAATAACTTCATTATTGGGTTTAACAGAGTGGTTCTCCGATATTTTGCTGGGTCTTTTTTGCTTCCTTTCTTAAATATTGGAATGGTTATGCTTTCCTTCCATTAAGTTGGTACTTTGTTGGTCTTAATTGTTTTGTTAAAGAGCTCCATTGATAGTTCCTCTCCTTCATACTGCAGCAACTCGTTAGATATTTCATCTTCTGCAGCAGACTTGCGGTTTATTAGTTTTGATGGTTGTTTGTTCAATTCTCTTCTACTAAAAAATAACTTAGTAAGTCTTAAACATTAAGATTAAACTAACTTTTTGCAATATTATGTTTTAGTTTGTCACTTATTTGAAGCTAACCGTTAAAGTTCAAAGCTACATGCGACGAAATAACGTTGCTTTAAAAATAAACTAACGCAAGTTTTGAAGCTCTTATTTCAGTGTACTAGAAACTTTTAAAGTCGTTTAGTGTAATAGTTTTTTTTTGTTTATTCCATAAATCGCCCAATGTACCAAAGAAATCATTTCTATGGTCGCTATTTGACTTGAGTTCGGTAGAAATTTTCATTTTCAATTTTTAAAAAACTTATAATTAACATGTGGCTTAAAAACAGTGGAAATTAATCACATCCATTGTTTCTAAATTATAAGAAAGCCTGGATGCTTGAGCATCATCTCAAAATAATATTCCCGATAAGGTTGTGAGTCACGTCAAATCGCGTCTTACATTTTTGCGTTAAGCAAGAAATAGAGCAAAGTTAACTTAACATTGGATCTATTACGGCGCAAAAACTAAAACCATTAGGGCCTAAACAATGTTACAAAAATTACGTCATAAGTCGTTTTAGGGAATAAAGTGACATGGGGAAAAAGTTATTATGAATATTGTGCAAGATTGTATAGCCAAATCCAATATTTGAGTCTCTCAGTCTCTTTTCAAAACATTGAAGTCTGTAAAACTCAACGGAAATTTACATTTAACAATTAAATTATAAGTAGCAAAAATTTGAAAAATTAAAATATTTTCAAGATGGCGGGCGAACATCGGATATATGGGAATTAGATGTCAATTTGTTTATTTTGAAAGGAACACTAATATTATCGCCTTTTTGATTTCTTCGAAAAATTTTAGACATATTTTGTGCTTAAGTTTCCAGAACGAACAATCTCTAAATTTCTTTCACCTTTTAGCACCATTAGCATACCCAGTAGCATATATATAAATATATCCGGTTATATCGCATTCTCAAAAATAATGCAGCCGGATCGCCCTTAGCGACATTACTTTAATTCAAATTTCCAAATTTTTGCTACTTATAGCTTTGCCATAATACATCGACGACGTTCCCGGTGGGACACTGTGCTGAACAATGTATTTTAAGTATTTTTAACATGCTATTTCAGCTGCTGGAAAGCTCGTGCTGCTCTCCAAAATGTTGAAAAAACTGAGGGACCAGGGCCATCGTGTGCTAATTTTCTCCCAGATGACGAAAATGTTGGACATCTTAGAGGACTTCCTGGACGGCGAGGGTTACAAATACGAGCGTATCGACGGCGCGATTACGGGCAGCCAGCGTCAAGAGGCCATCGATAGATTTAACGCCCCCGGCGCGCCTCAATTCGTGTTTTTGCTTTCTACCCGCGCCGGCGGTTTGGGCATCAATCTGGCGACGGCAGACACCGTCATCATATACGATTCCGACTGGAACCCGCATAACGACATTCAGGCGTTTTCGAGGGCCCACCGAATCGGCCAGGCCAATAAAGTGATGATTTACCGATTCGTGACGAGAAACAGCGTGGAAGAAAGGGTGACCCAGGTGGCAAAGAGGAAAATGATGTTGACCCATTTGGTGGTGAGACCCGGGATGGGCGGCAAAGGTTCCAACTTCACCAAACAGGAACTGGACGATATTTTGCGGTTCGGCACAGAAGAACTGTTCAAGGAAGAGGAGGGTAAAGAAGAGGAGGCGATCCATTACGACGACAAAGCGGTGGAAGAGCTGCTGGACCGGTCCAAGGAGGGTATTGAGCAGAAGGAAAGCTGGGCCAACGAGTACCTCAGCTCGTTCAAGGTCGCAAGTTACGCGACGAAAGAGGGCGACAACGAGGAGGAGGTTGATACCGAGATTATCAAGCAGGAAGCTGAAAATACAGATCCGGCTTACTGGATAAAGTTACTGAGACACCATTATGAACAGGTAGGGGAAGGGGTAACGACACTTAACTGAATTATTTTCAAATAAAACAAATATGAAATATTTTTCTATATTGCTTTCCAATGTTGAAGATTGATAGGAAGCCATGTTGTTGGAAATAGATAGGCTACAGGCGTTCTGTGGCAACTTCCACTATTTTTGCATGTGACGTTGGAGCTAGACACCTTTGACTAATTGATATTCAATAGCGGTCCAAATTGCCTCAGAATGCTTGTAGCCTATCCACTGTCGCATAGTCTAGTAAACACTGTACTAACCAATCAAAGGTCCATGAAAAAGTTACAAAAATTAGATTGATTAATTTCACTGAAAGGACATTCCACTATGATGAAAATCAATATGATTTTTTCAAAATCAACAGTACCGTAGGAGCAAGAGTGGATCTGCATTATATCTCAAGAGAAATGACAAAAACAACTTTCTCAACTTGAACAAGGCATTTGATACTGGAGATGCAGATCTGTTATTTAACTCTATTTAATTAACAGTTAAAAACTATATATACTGGTCTATTGAAAGTATCTGGCGAATTAATCAACAGATTTACTTTAAATTATACAGAATGATGTAAAATATAAAGTATACAGTGTATACAGTATACAGAAGTATACGCTTCTATATGAAGGTGACAGCATCTTGCTTAGTTTAAATAGCACCTTTGTATTTCGGTTCATTTTTGATTCGGCGCAAGAAAAAAAGTAGATTTTGCGTCCTTATTACCTATTTCTTACCGTTATCGCATTAAAAAATAATTTCCCAGTTTTTTAAGCTATTTGGACCTTTGAGGAAATCTTAATAGTTCTACTCTTTCATTAAACAGAGAGCCGAATTTTTCCAGACAGTTCTTGAAAGGCATTCTTTCCTGGCCCATTTTCGATGGAACATGTGAGGGATTTCAGAAATAAGATTTTGTGCGGGAGTTCTAGAAACACTGTGTTGTCGTATATAGCACACCCTGTACATTTTTCAAGTATAGCTGATAGACTCGCCCAATTGTGTATAGAATGAACTTTTCTTTTCATTTTAATTTTAATTTCTAATACTAATATAATAAATTTTTCTTTCAGAGGTAAGAGACTTGGTTAGTTTCTGTATAAATAAATCGGGTTTCTGGAACTCTCTTACAAAATCTTATTTTTGAAACACCCAGTATGTTCCATGTAAAACGGTATTCCAGGAGCTCTTCCGGGAACTATCTGGAAGAGTTCGTCTTTCTGTTTAAAGCACGGAACTATTAAGATTTCTTTAAGGGTCCAAATTGCTTAAAACTCTAGGTAGTTATATGTTTCTGTAACTGTCAGACATATCTAAAAGAGAAATTCTACTTTATTTATTACTTAGAATCAAAGAATGAAATGATATACAGGGGGAACCATTAAAACTAAGCAAAATGTTGCCACATTTATATAGAAGCGGCAACCCTGCATACTTAAAAATATTTTAGAACGATAGAGTAAGAGGAGGACGTTGCTTACATAATTCAAAGTAAATTCGTTGAACCGTTCGCCAGATGCTTTTATAGGTCATCCACTGCGCGCCACCCGGTATACTGCCAGTAAAATTATTTCAAACATGAAAATCAACACCAAAGGGTGACATGGATGCGATGTAAACCATTATAAAGTGGTAGACAGAATGAATTTGAGTAAAAATTCCTTAACCATGTTTTAAAGAATTCTCAAGCAGTAGTCTGGGTAACATTTGGTAGGCCTTAATAGCTCTCTATAAAGGGCCTTCGGTGGAATGGAATGTCCTGTTACTCGTTTTTGTGGATGGTGGTGTGGAGGTAAATATGTTTTTTTGCCACTAGCAACAAGAGGACATAGCCCGGACCCTAGGCAAGGGCAAACGGGTCAGAAAACAGGTGAACTATAACGACGGTGGCATGACGACCGACACCCGAGAAGACACCACGTGGCAGGAGAACCTTTCCGATTACCATTCCGATTTCTCCGCCGGATCCGACGAAGACCGCGAGGATGACGATTTCGACGAGAAAAACGACGGCGACCTGATCAGACGAAGTAGGAGACGCATGGAAAGGAAGGACGAAAGAGACAGACCGCTGCCACCGTTGTTGGCCAGAGTCGGGGGCAACATCGAAGTACATACGTCCTTTAAACTGCCCTTGCAGATGTTTTGTAACGCTCCGCCCTTATTTTTAGGTACTTGGTTTCAACGCCAGGCAGAGAAAGGCGTTCCTTAACGCGATCATGCGCTACGGTATGCCACCGCAGGACGCATTCAATTCTCAGTGGCTGGTGAGGGATCTGAGGGGCAAATCGGAGAAGAATTTCAAAGCGTATGTGTCCCTGTTTATGAGGCATTTGTGCGAACCCGGCGCGGATAACGCCGAAACGTTTGCCGACGGCGTACCCAGGGAGGGGCTTAGCCGGCAGCACGTGCTGACTAGAATCGGCGTGATGTCCCTAATACGCAAGAAAGTGAGGAAATGTTTACTCGCTTAATAACATTGACATAATAATTCTTCTTTGACGATAGGTACAAGAGTTTGAGCTGATTAATGGCGCGTACAGTATGCCCGAGCTTATCAAGAAGACACTGATTGAGCAGAACAAGAGTAGCATCGCATCTAACGAAGGGGAAACTCCGAAGAGTGCGACGACGAGCACCAGCGCGACTCCAGCGACTAGCGCCGCCCCCAGCCCGGCACCCAACGCTCCCTCCGAATCGGCGGACAAGGAAAAAGAAGGTTAGTTGTTGGTATAAGATTCGCTAATAATGAAAAGTAGAGCTATTTTGTTTTTACATATGGTAGTGGCTTAATAAAAATATCGTTAAAACCTCAAACAACTACAACTTCATACTACCAATAATGGTTATGAAATAAGACTTAACCAACATTGCTACTGGTGTTGCTCATTACCAATTTGTTTCAAACCAAGTTTCAACTTTAGTACAAATGTGGTTCAGGATTCCTCCCAACCTATTTACCTTTACTTGTTGGCCGTTTTCTTTTATAGCTTCTTGTTTAATGACACTTTTACTAGTTAAATATAAAATATAATTTGTCTTGCATCTAATGATATAATGACTGGTGATTTGGACGCGGCATAACATAAAAACCGTCCTTAGTTGGCAATTCCTATGGTTAAAGCAATCATCGTTATTCAGCAAAAAATGATTATTGTTATTTGAAACAGAATCGCTATGAATGTGTATTGCCATTTGTTAAGGTGAAGAAGGCAAAGAGAAAGAGGTAAAGCAAGAAACTAAAGGGGCCGTTGGAGAAAAGGAAAAGTCGCCGGAAGAGGACCGTGCAGAACAAAAAGACGATAAGGACTTCGTTGCCGCCGTTAAATACGAACCGAAAGAAGAACGCACAGAGGAAGGGGAAGAAAAGAAAGAAGATAAAGACGAGGTACTTATCGAAGAGTATGTTTGGTCGTACACTGATTTGGTGTTTATGTTTAGGTTAAGAGGGAAGAAACAGACCCGAAAGTCGAGCCTAAGAAAGAAGAAGAAGAGAAGGGAGTGAAAAAGGAAGAGGAAGAGGACAACAAGCACGACAAGGAGAAGGTTAAACTGGAAAAGAAGGAATCTGAGGAGGTCGTGTTAGTTGATGAAGATAAGGACACAAAGGTGGCGAAATTGAACATGACCATAGTTTTTTTTTTCTACAATTTGGGCGATTTTCAGAAGGAGGCTAAGAAAGACGTGGACATCGTCGCGTCGGAAGGCAAAAGAAAGTTCATGTTCAACATTGCCGATGGCGGTTTCACGGAGCTACACACCCTGTGGCTGAACGAGGAAAAAGCGGCCACGCCTGGTCGCGAATACGAAATTTGGCACCGACGTCACGACTATTGGTTGCTCGCCGGTATCGTCACCCACGGTTATGGCAGGTAATCGAATATTTTATGTACTTATTTAAAAAAATTCAAACATTGAAATAATTTTTTTTTAATTTGGCACTGAAAATAATATTTACTTGTTAGTTTGGTCTCATTATCACTCAGTGACCTGTAATAACATTGTACCAAACTCCAAAGGCTCTTCCACTCGTGGTATATCCTCCTGGACAATTTATTTCAAGTTCTTTCAACCTGCTCAATGTTGGAACAATTTGATGTGGCTGGAAAATGTTAATGTACTGTCTACCAAGAATACAGTTTAACAGGAAATTGGCGTTGCATTTATTGCATGTGATGCATGTGGTTTCTTCTTGCTTCTTAATGAAAGCCATTTTCTGACAATGTAAAATTCAGTAACAGTTTATTTTAATCGAGGCATATTACAAGACACACTAAGATCCTCTTGAAAAAGAATAGCATAATTTAAGGATTAGGGATAACATAATAAAGTTGAAATTTTACGCTAAATCAACTAAAAACGAGCAAACGGTAAGAGTTTTGCCGCACTCGGCCAAGAAACCTTGGATGTTTCACCCCAGTTTGGACTTCGGCTGCCTTTATTTTTTGAAAATAACAAATTATATTATATACAGGGTGCTTTTAAAAAACGCTTGGCTAATTTTAGGTCTAGTTATTTACTCTAGCAATTTACTGTACGTTTTTTGAAACATCTTGTATTGCTCACGTTTTGCCAATCATCCTGTTGCCTTCTTCAGGGCTTAAAGCAAACATTAAACTGAGGTGGCTTTTACTTGATGAAAATCCATTTAACAAAATAAATATATATTTTCACTTGACAATATATATATATTATTTATATAATTATTGTCGAAACAATTGTCTTGTGAAAATATATAATTTCGTGAAAATCTGAACTTTTAGTTCGTATTTATTTTGATTTATTTATCAACAACCTACATAAGACGAATCTAGAAGAATTGCTAATAGTACCCTGCATAGTCCTGAGTGCATTAGGTGTGGCTGCTGGTTGCTTATGAGTAAAATAGTGGTTTCCACTGGATATTTGCCTTCTGTACCAGTGGGTTGTCTTTTGTTCTTGTGGGCCTCCTGGACATTATATACGACTATTCCTTTAGTCGCTCCATTACAGTATCATCTAGCCAAGCAAAAGGTTGAGATATAATTGAAATAAAGGCAATGTCAGATCAAAAATATATCTATTGCCTACATCGCCATTTGTGTTTAACCCACAATAAAATAGGAGATCTACTGAAGGAAGGATTCATTATAGCTAAAGGTCTAATCTATTGCAAGAGATCCCCCTTTTTTGAAAAGTATTGTTTTATAGGTGGCAAGACATTCAGGCGGACGCTCGTTTCGCGATCATAAACGAACCGTTCAAAATGGACGTCGGCAAAGGTAATTTCTTGGAGATCAAGAACAAATTCTTGGCCAGGCGATTCAAGGTAAGAAAAAAGGCGATCTGCGCGCGCGAGTAGGGGCACTTATCACCACCTTGGTTGTCCTAGTTGCTGGAGCAGGCGTTGGTGATTGAAGAGCAGCTGCGCAGGGCGGCGTACCTGAACCTCACGCAAGACCCGAACCATCCGGCGATGTCCCTGAACGCCCGTTTTGCCGAAGTCGAGTGCTTGGCGGAGTCCCACCAGCACCTCAGCAAGGAGTCGCTGGCCGGAAACAAGCCCGCGAACGCGGTGCTGCACAAGGTGCTTAACCAGCTGGAAGAGCTGCTCAGCGACATGAAATCGGACGTGTCTAGGCTGCCGGCGACTCTGGCTCGAATCCCGCCGGTCGCTCAGAGGCTGCAAATGTCGGAGAGGAGCATCCTCTCGAGACTGGCCGCCACCTCGTCATCGAGTAGCCAGTCCACCAGTAAGTATTTACATGGTTTCACGTTTGGGGGGATGAAGTTTGTAATTCTATATTGATTTTTTATTTTTTTATTTTTCATCTTTTATTAAGAATTATTTGCATTTTCTTTAAGCAGTTATATGAGTTGCGACTTTTCTTGTCTGTGAAATGTTGGTTTCATCTAAAATCTTACTTTTTCCTTCTTTTAATGACCTAAAAGCACACTTATTGTTCTCCTTTCTGTTAAAGAGCAAAATTTCATTGCACCTTTGCACATTTTTTCTCTGCAGATGTATTAGGAGTGAAATTAGAGATTAGCTTTTGCTTTTGTCCTACTCTAAGGAGCGTGAACGTTGCTATAGTCACTTCTGTTTTTTTTTTTCGTTGTCTCGTCTTATGTGATTTAGAAACGCCACTTTTTGTGGCCTTGGTTGTAGCCACGCCCTTTGTTATTTGAATTGCGCCTATTTTTGTATTTTCGTATCTTAAATCAGATATAGTAGTTCAAATGCACTTTGTCACTGGATTTGGTACCAGCCTTAAATTAAAAATTATCGAATGTTTCTCCTTTTGTATTAGAATAGGCGATTTGTTTTCATCCATTGTTTAAATTTTTGACGCCTGCAATTTTTTGGTGAATGTTAGCACGTGTATTATTTTTGATGGCGACCCTAAACACAAGTACTAGCAATATCGAAAATTTTAATGCATAATATGCATTAATTTTGAAATTAATGAAGTAATGAATCTTAGTACTCAAATATATTCTACGATCAGTATTATGTGCATCTCAAACCTTGGTGTGAGAATTCAGGTTTTATCATAAAAATAAACTTACTGTTCTAGCACAAGTGATGAGTCAGTTCCCACCGGGTTTTAACGCGGGCAGCTTGTCTGGATTTAGTGCGGCTGCGGCTAACTTCGCCAACTTCAGACCGCAGTACTCGGTACCGGGGCAGCCACCATCTGGGTTCCCATCATAATAAAATAATGTGAGTATTCGCCGACGGGACCGTTTGGACTTTTTATTGCCTTAAAATTTGATATTTATACCAGAATGTATTTCAATTGCAGTTGCTGAATGGGGTTTTTCAAGGAAGCCGTCTCCAAAACACATTTTTGCTCACAGATAAGCCGAACTCGGGCTTTTGCTGTCCTAGTGAATATAAATTTGCTTCTTCTATTTATTTAGGTTCAAATTTTATCGAATCTTAATTTATTGACCTAAAATTAACGCTCCTAAGTTCTACTTCGTTTGAAAATCGTTGCCGGTCTATCTGCCACGGGATCAGTTTTTCGAGTGATGACACAGTTTGAGTTATTTATGAAAAATTCATTTTTTCTGTAAGACCAAAATTTTCCTGAAATATTCTTTGCAAAAATTGTGATACTGAGCAAAGACCATTATATTGGTCAACACCTATTAAGACAGTTTAATAAAAATATGTGGCCATGTTTTTTTAATCTGTTTAAGATGAATTTATTTTCATTTTGACTTTGTATCACTTATTATCTATTTTTTAAATTATATTTTGCGTAATTTTTGTCTGATAAAGAGGCAAAACATAATGGCTCTACTGATTATATTGCGTCGGTAGTGTCACTATCGTTATAACATAGATATCAAAATTGAATTAATGTGGTGTTTAGACTATCTACCATTTTCACCTCACAAGTATTTACTTACTTACCTGTTGTTTTATGTGATCCTTCTATAAAATATTGTATGCTGCTGTCGGTGAGAACGATTTTTTTTCTTCGGTATAATTTGTAGGCGAATAGCAATAGGAATTTGTTAAATATTAAGAAGTCCACTTTTTTTTGAAGGTGGTAGGATTTTTTAAATTGGTAATATGTTTGTTCTTGAGCATTCCTCAACACAAATAAAATACTGTGGAAACCATTAAAGCTTTTTATTTGCGTCTGATGGTAAACGCAGCAACGCGACTAAACAATATTTTACGCATTTTCTCCCAATTTAATAACTATGGTAGGTTGCAATTTTTAAATGAAATTAAAAATGATGAATATCAAATATACTTACGGAAATATTTTGGTTGTAACTTTTTTCAATATTTTTTTTAACAATATATCAAAATGTGTGGACTAGAGACTTCAAAAGGATTTCGATTGAAATAAAATTCAATTGAAAGTCTGATTTCTAACATATAAGCGATACGCGGAAATGGAAATTCGCAAAAACAAACAATAACTTTATTGAACTTACATACAAATATAGATCTGAACTTATAACTATATCACTCGACGGTCAAGATTTATAACGAGTTTAGCAAATCTCTGAACATCATGTCCGCAGGATCTTTCACGCTCTGGAAATTTTCGACGAACCTCACCTTTTGCTTATCGTTGGTCAAGTTTCGGTAAAAGTCTGATCCAGCTATGCACAACATTGCTCTATCCTCATGTTCATATCGACCAATCCGCGTTTGTACGTGGGGAAAAAGAGCCCTGAGCCACTTGTTGGTACTCGCGCTGATAAAGAAACAAGTCAGACACCACGTTGCCATATTTATAGACGAAGATTGCGTAAAATTCGAAAGACTGAACACTACCCAATCTTGGAGCAAGGATAACTGATTTTGTTCTATAGCAGATTCAAACACCTGTAAGAAAAATACTTTATTTCTAAGGATCCAGACAATAAAGGTTGAATAATAAATTTCATTACTTTGAACACAACTCCACTCATTAGCTTCGGGTGCGGTTGTTGTGGCGATAAAAACTCTCCTATAACTTTGGTAAGAATATCAGACGGAGAGAAAAAGTCTTTCAAGATGGATGGCAACATCGCGCATAACACTTGCACCTCCAGTTGGTACCCTTTTTTAATAGTTTCGAATAAGGCCGATATTTTTTCTATCGTTTGAACCAGTTGTTCCGGACTAGTCTCTGCGCAAGGCTGTTTTTCCAACTGTTCTGAGCAATCTGCAAAAATATCTTTGGACATCATTTCAAAAACTAGAGTTTCTTCTTCACTCGCCTGTGTACATGTAAGTCACCATAAGTTGTATCCCGAGGATAGAAGTGGAAGGATCGTCTACTTTCATTGTTTCTAAAGCTAATTTATAAATTTGTTTACCAATTTTGTCCAAAATGAGCTTTTGTCTTGTAAGCATTAATCTTTCAAGACCCTGGAAAGTACACATCAAGTACTCATACTGTGAATGATGCAGGAAAAGAATATGTAGAACAGGTTTGATTAAAGAATTAAAGAAAACACTACTGACCACCATAAGGCCCGAAAATATTAAAAATTACCTTTATAAGGTGTGTTCCAATATTCCTCTCTTCATTACTCTTCAATGCCTCGAAAACTTTCTGTAAAGTGCTATCAAAAAAATTAGATTCCACGTGACTCTCTTCGACATTTTCGATAATAAAAAAAGCCACTGACCAAACGAGCAAAGTGTGTTCGAGCGATTTCTTTAACACGCAGTTACTGGTGTTTAAATGGTTCTGGATGTATTCCACCGCGCACGGTAAAATCAGCTGCATTTCTTCAGAAAGCCCGTCCAGTTTGACATTGTTCGCCAGGCACCCTTCCAAAATGTACAACATCCCGTAGAGACACGATATTCGCGACGGCAAAAAGTTACTTTTCATAAATTGAACCAGTAGCCTTTTAGTCTGTTCATAAATTTCCAAATCCTGTAACGCACGCATATATCAAGAAAAGTGTCGCAAGTTAATCTCGCGAAAATAATTACAGGATTTAAAACACCAACAGATTTGCATATCCCCAGAATAAGGTATTGGTGCAATAGCTCGTCTTCCACGGAATGCGTTTTGACTAGGGTCAGAAATGTGTCCTGCATCCACTTAAATTGCGTTACATCGGTAAATAGGTCGGAAATAAACACGATTGACCTCACAGTTTCGTGCAGCATCCGCAGATCACACATTGCCGACTAAAATTTCAAATTCCCATATCCTCATTTAACACACACTGACAAATCACCTCAGGAGACAAAAGCTGATTATAATATTCTAACAAAAATTGCAAACATGAGTTTACATCTAAACCGCACTCTTCCAGGAGTTGAGCTCGTTTGGTGGACATGGCAGATGCCGACATTTCCGGATTAACTGCCGCCAAAAAATATTTAACTGACAACTGCCCATAAGAATAATGATCGCTGCATTTTTCAAAATTTCTTTCCTCAAATACGTTTACCAACCTGTTGGTCTGACCAAATGCTTTTAGGAATTCATTTTCGATAGTGCGCTGTACAAGCTTCAACTTTTTAATACTAAAAATGAATATCATCTGGATGTTTTTTTATTGTTTATTTTATTCCTATTACCAATGACATCATAACCAAAAGAGACCCAAAAATACCAAATAAGATTTCCACTCTTAATATTAAGCGTTCCCATTGAAAAATCCATATCGCCAAGAAAGTGGTTTTTATTTATCATTTTTATCAGCGGTAAAGTAATATAATGCTATGTCTGGTCTCTTGTAGATAGGTCATTGTCATGTCTACTACCTTTGTTGACTCTCTCTTATCACTTTATTCCTTGAGGCATGTAACAGCATTGACATTGACTCATTGCCCAAAACCGGAATCCTCAAAGTTTGCAGCAATAATACCGTTATCGCTCTCACGGCTTGACTGGACACGTAAATAGAGTTTGCAAATTCATCAGACTCGCGATTATCAATAGGGCAACACAAGACACTGAGAAAGCACATCCATGTTTCTTCAAATTGTTGTCTGGTTGCCCAGCCTAGCAAGCTGATCCTGAAACCACAGGTTTACGTGTCAAAACAGCTGGGCTTGTGGAAGTTGGTTATGAAATTATTGCTTCTGCATGGTCTGAACATAAACAAAGACTAGAAAGGACACTCCTCTTTCGCATTGTTGCGGTTTGATCAAATAGCGACGACAAGTCAGAAATTCCAATCTCGACTTATTTTACCTGTACATTATAGCTTGAATGCTTGTCACTGAGTGTTATGATGACTGTGGAGAAGCGGATAGAAGACGAACAATGTTTTGAATGGCTTTTACCTTGCTGCTGTATATAATTTACTCACCGGAACATATACTCTTGAAAAATCTCGACCTCTTGTAAAAATTCCAAATGCAATGGCGGAACTTGGGTGCCATGCTCTCCGGAAAATATCGGATCCCAACCAGATTTCCACACTTTTTCCGGAACCAAGATGTATGAGTTAAATACGGGTAGTCTAGCCACGGAAATAATTACACTTTTGATATTAACGAATAAAAAATTAGGTATTCCCACGGGAAGAACGGAAGATTTCAATGACTGAATCCAAGTAATCAGTACGTACAGTCGGTGACAGGCATGGAGGGGGGGGTTTGACGGGTTAATTTTGGAGGTACCATACATTTCAGCTAATGGAATAGATTCGGCACCTTTTAATAAGAATGTCACTATTTTATGTAAGCTGTTAACAGCTGAACACAACCAGGTAATACTTTCGTTGGCCACGAATGCTAAAAGTTGCTGGGTATGTGAAAAGATTACACTGGAACAGTGCAACAAAAGATCTAAAAATTTGATATTTTTGAAAGTCTTGTCGACGCGCATACTAAAATCTATAAACTCCAACGACATTACCGCAAATTTAAATATATTGCTGAAACAACTTTGGGAAATTTTTAGCCTAGCGATGTCCTCTGGCATGGCAGATTCTAACAATGAAAGCAGAGAGACGGAAATATTTTCTACCGAAGACGGAAAAGTTAAATCTCTATATAAAACCTGAATCATGGTGCTTGTATAGTCGTTGATATTGCAGTTAGTCCCCGGATCATCTAATTGAAAAATCTGGAAAGAAAAAAATTAATAACAGTTTATTGACAGTAATTTTTTCTTTCCCTGTATTATGTATTTTTAGATATATTAATAGCAGCAGCAAAACTATAACTAATTTCGGTGAGTTCTTTCAGTGATCTTATTGATACCAGGTGTTCGGCAAAAATATACAACATTAATAAACTAAACAAGCTAAACGTGTTTTAAAGATACTACTTTAAAGTCTCATTATGTTATATTTTAAATAAATTATGTCAAGTACTTTAAAAGAAAAACCAATAGGGACTTTCTTGCGTTGTATGTGAACCCAAGAGATTTCCCGTACTTACATCGTGAGGCAAAAAGACATTAGATAATAAATCAGAGATGTGGCTGAAGAGCTCTTGAACTGCAGCCTTTAAAATAAGCGGTTCCTCCTTTGAATCGTGACTAATTAATTTGCTCATTCCAAATTTTATGCATTCACCGATAAAAATTTTTCCGAATTCAGCATCCGATAAAAAATTTACAATCTCTTCAAATTCCAGCCCATCGATAACGGCGGCCACGTTTTGCTTGGGCGTCGAATTGCTATAATTCTTTTTTATTTCCGAGAGATACCAATCCTTGTTTATGTTCAAAGTTCTAACGTAACTTGCGTTCAAATTGCTGGCGTCGAATTCCAAAGGGCTCAGTTCGTAAAACTGAATCAGCAATTTATTTAAAAGACATTTCAGGGTTTCGTGTCTAAAAATTTAGAATCCATTGAAAAAATATATTCCAGCCCAGAGTGACGATACCCTTACCTTCTGGGTGCGCGCATTGCCCGTTTGATGTCAAATATTTCCTCCCTTGTCAACTGACTGTGCACTTCTTCAAGGGTGAACGTTAGTAGTAGCTCGACTTTTCGACTTGCCAGGCTGGACGCCATTCCGGAGACAGCGACTTGGTTGTGATATAACATTTCAGGCACTAGCAATTTAACAACCGCGCCCAATTGGGAACAGTGACACGTTTCTATAGATTTGAGAATTCTGGTTTTAAAAACGGGCTAAAATGCATAACGTACGTGATAGATCAATGCCTAAGTCTTTTTAAATTGCGCTCACGTTGTCAACAGTCAGACAATGCTTCATCACACCTTCGATGAAAGTTTTACTGTGTTCCGGCGACCGATGAACAAAACAGATAAATTCATAAACCGGGAGCTCCTCCACGAATAGTACCAATTCGTAGCAATGATTAGTTAACGTCCAATTTATTTCCGCAATATCTTTCGAATTTTCCGTCTAAAAATAATAAAACTATGAGAAGTTACAGATATTATTCCGAATATAAACTATACCAGATAATCGCACAGTAATATGGTACCGCCTTGCTGGACGATCGCCTTGTTAATTGACTTTTCCATGCGACAGTTTCCATCCTTAAATCCGCTCAAAATATGCTCCCAATACAAAATATCCTTAAAATTTAGAAAACTTAAAACGTAACCCCAGTATAACGTTAAGGTCGGGTAGGCACCCCCAATTTTCAAAAACCTCTCGTTTACTTCATTAATATTAAGAGTATTATCGCAGTCCGTTCGTCCTACTAACGTAGAAGCGATTCGACTTATTTTACAGTGGCTACCTGGAATAATTGATAAGATGGACACAACAACCAACACCAATCAACAAAACTGACCAAAATTTTGACAGTTTGATTCTTTGAATGACTTAAGCTTACCTGACTGAAAGGTGTAGGAACAACACAACAAGAACACGGTCAACTGAGAAACCAAAAAGTCACTAACTTTTCCGTCGGTCATTCTTTTTAAAATTTCACCAGAAACCACCGACGCGACCCTAAAATACAGTCTGGACACTAATTCTTCCGGGGAAATACCGTTAAAAACATCGGCGTTGTTGTGAACGTTGAGCGGATCTGCGGTAGTGGGGACCTTTTGAAAAATACTGCCCGGATTGAATTCCGCCTTGACCTCATCGATATTCCATAATAAATCATCTTCCTTCAACGAGGTCAGTATAAATAATAAAATTATGATTTTCGACAACCATCTGTCTAATGCAACTGAGTCATCCTAAAAAGATGTTGCTTTTACCACACTTTTGAAATAAAAAAGGTTATTTATTTAAATTTAAAAAACATGTATGTTTTTTTTAATTTACAATTAAATTTTCCAATTTTATCCTACAACTTATTTCTAACCAATACAATATTTTAATAAGTTATATTAGTGATGTCGTGGAATCATCCAATTGGGCTGGCAGCTGTCAACCTTTTGGCCTTTTGGGTGTTTTTTAATGATAAACATACTATTTGAGTGTGTTTACAAGATTAGTCTTAATCACAATGGCACTGCAATATAGGAGGGAACAATTTTTTTAAGAGACCCCAACAGTAAAACAATGTTCATAATATTTATAAAGTAATACTTGAATAGTGCCATATTGATAAGTGATCTTGAAATTTGTTAAATAACCATTTATGAACGCTAATATATTCAACAAAATGGCTGCTAATGAATTAAACTACAAACTCTTGTGGTACTCACTGTTTGAGGTGGGGATTGAAAAATCATCACTACAATATCACCGACCGATTCAAAAACTTTGGGATGCAGAGCCAAAACGAAATTCCAAAGGGTATGGAACGCGTCTGCGTCGTCTAGTTTCATTTTGTCCACCTTGAGGCACTGAAGAAATACCTGTACCGCCTGACCAGACCACCTGAACCATTTTGTCGGATCGTCGATGCAATATTTGCTATCTTCCAAGATCAAAGTGATCAACTTAACAACCTCCTTATACTCAAACAGCCTTAGAAGCATCGAAAGCATCACCTCCCTAGTCGTTTCCAGTTCATTCATGTCTGTGGTGTTAGCTTTGTTCCTTATAAGGAAAATGTCCTCTATTATCGGTTCCAACGCGGGAATGCAATGGGTCAGCGGATCTTGACCGCTTGCCATGAGACCGTCGCAAAGCTGAATTATTTTGGGTATGCTAATGATATTTTTTGAATGCTGCTTACTGTACGATAGGCTGACGAAAAATTGGAAGATTTTCGGAATAAGCTCCTCTGAAAATCTAAAGGAAATGTTTACAGAGAAACTGTGAGTACCAAATGGTATGGTCTGTTCATAGATATAAGAAAGTGACCAATTGCTTTTGAATGGGATTATCCAAGGGTGGTCAACATATAATACAAGATTATTACCTAATGTTTCGGAATTTAAATTCAGGTAAAATTGTGGTCCGTAATAGAAAATAATTTTATACCTACCTGTGTTTCTTTGGTTTGGTATACTACTTAGTTTAAGTTTATTAGTAATCATTCTTATTTCGTGTGTGTAATACAGCGTGTGTTGAATCGTGTGCGAATTATGCAAAATATGTGCGAGTCTAGTGTATGTCAGGAGATGCTCCGCCCAAATGTAGAAAACACTATTCTATTGAGTCAAAGGATGTTATAAACAATGTTTATTTGACTCTCATTGAACGTGGTGCCAGCAAGCAAGCATCTTTAGAAGAAACGGCCACATTGACGAAAATTCCAACATCAACTGTATCGAAAATTGTGAATAATCCCATTTCAGCGAGGAAAAAAAGGTTGAACTGAGGTGGCTTTTACTTGATGAAAATCCATTTATCAAAATAAATAAAAACTAAAAGTTCAGATTTTCACGAAATTATATATTATGACATGACAATTGTTTCGACAACACCGTGTCTTTATCAAATGTGAGTTGAGGAAAAAAAGAAGCGATGCTGACATTTTCGCGAGTGTAGATGAAAGTGAGTGATCAAGATATAATACGGCGTAAAATTTACCAATTATACGAGGAACAAAGCGTGTCTACATTAGATATCTTAATTAGGAGGCTTGAAAAACAAAACTACCTTATGAGAGTGTATTCAACACATGGGTTTAAAGATTTAAAAAAAATTACAAAAGGCAAGTTTTAATGGAATCTTTTAGAATTCGGAAATGTCGACTGGAATATGTAGAAAAAATTAGGATTTACAGAGAACAACAAAGGCCAATTATTTACTTGGATGAAATCTGGTTCGACACTTTTGATACACCGGAAAAGGGTGGGGTTGACTCAACTGATAAGTGGAAAACAAACGTGCCATCAAAAAGAGGTAAAAGAATAACTATTTTGCATGCTGGCTCTAAAGATGGTTGGATTCCAAATGGACTTTCTCTGTCTGCGAAAAATATTAAAGATTCTTCTCTGGATTACCATCAAGACACCACCGCTGATTTATTTGAAAGTTGGTTTAAAAACAAACTAGTTCCAAACATTCCTCTCAATAGCGTCGTTGTAAAGGACAATGCAAGTTATCACAGTATGCAGTTAACTAAAACCCCTTCCTCATGTGACACAAAAGCAACAATGTATAATATGTATAACATGTATAATAACGACATTTATTTTCACGAAGATTATACCAAAAAGCAATTAATTGATGTTCTACAAAGCTTGAACCTACAAAAGGAATACATCTGTGATAATTATGAAAAAAATCTAGGGCATACAGTTGTAAGGCTTCCACCTTACCACTGTATATTTAATCCCACTGAACATGTTTGGCACCATCTGAAATCTGCCATTCGTCGTAACAATGTTTTTCCCCATGTTAACTCCAATGTCCTCAAACTTATAGAAACCGAAGTTTTTAACATCCCTTCACAAAGTTGGGCAAATTCTGTTAAATATATAGAAAAAGCAGAACCATCGTATATCCATATTGCAAATAATATAGAACAAATAATCAGTACAGGCGATGATAGCGATAGTGATACTCATATGTTATGTGAATAATTTTAAGTAATTTAAGTAGGTAATGAAAATAATTTGTAATTTAATTTTAGATTTAAAGATAAATACATACATAAATAAATAAATATTGTTTAGTATCCTTCCTAACAAAACCCCAAATAATTAAATTCTAAGCAAGTACGGATCTGTTCGGCCATATTTCATTCTTACAGCTTGCCCTGGTCTTTCCTTAATTCGTATCAGTTAGTCACTTTCTTATATCTATGAACAGACTTTACTTACGAAATTTGACCCTCTTCGATATATTCAAATTGCTTCAGTACAAAGTCTTTAAACACTTGTTCAGAGTCTAGTAAGCAGTAATTGACTCTAAGTTGTACCAGTTGGTTTAAGAGTTGCAGAACACGCGACTGAAGCCTAACATCGCTTGTGACGGTATATTGCTAAAAATAGAAAATGGGACACTTGCAGCTTATTAATGAACCCAGTCCCATATTGCAAAATTAATATTTGAGTGTGACTTGACAGAAACATCCGTGACTAAGATCTACTGAAAACATCTGATCAATCCCAAGCTCAAGTAATAAAGTGACACATAGAGTAAAACTTTTTGACTTAAAATTTAATAAGTGCTTTAAAGTGAAGCAATTTAATGTCTGTTACGAGTTGACTCTTAGAGAATTCCTCTAAAATTGAAAATTTGAACACCAAGTTTTATAAATTAATAATTAAGTAAAAATTAGCACAGATAACGACCATATTCTGTTACCTACCTTCAATGACTTTATCACCATGGGTTCGAATATTCTAATGTAGTCGGCGAGTGTTTTATCCGATGCCTTTGATATGGAGACGATACTTTTTAACCCAGGGCGATGCAAATAACCCATAATTGTATAGTCGCCATCGTAATCGATTTTACTATTGTTTCGTAGCATTTCTATACTAGATGCAATATCATCATAGGGATTTTGAAATAAATTGTAGAACAATCCGCAATTCTTGGGAGCTTCCTACGACTCACATTTTTCAAAAGAAAATAAAAAAATATTAGGGACTTTTAGCAGTCACATCTAGTAGTTAAAATGAATCAATTAAAAAATGCATTGAAGGTCGCCTCAAAAGATTTCAACATGTCAAATGAAAAATGGCACGCCACTGCCTTTTCCAAAATGTGTTAGTTACTTCAGCAACTTTTCTTTGAATGTACGATAATCTAAATTATTTTAACATCAGGCGCAATAAATAAACTACAAAGCTTAGTTGTGTCAAAATTATTAACACCCTGCATATTTTTGAAGGATGCACATTTTTATATGAACTTTATTTTAAATGTACCGTAGGGTTTTGGCATTCTATACACTTAGAAAAACAGTTATTCTAAAGCTAAAAGTCCCTGCTGTTGATGAAAGGTTCATACATCACGACTCTTAATTTCCTGAAGAACGCTAGACAAATTTGCGGTTAAATTCGTATCAAATAAACATTTCAGTAATTGCTGAACACATTGCATAGTCGAATTAGGGTCCATGGTGAATGTTGATTTCATATAGGTTAAAATTTCTTCGGCCATTCTACCGAATTCATTTAGAGTTGCGACCTCCATTATCACTGACAAAGCGTTCAGCGTGTTTTTCAGTAAATCTACAAATTTTTCCGAAGCCTCAGGTTCTAACGATATCTACGATTTTAAGTTTCTTAAAATCTAGCTACGGCAAACATTTGCTCCCACTACCTTATAATTTGCAAAGGAATTTCTAAGATTTTCAAAAATTTTCATATAATGTTGACTCTGAACGAAACTTCCTATTTCGCACGTTTTTTTCTCGTCTTTTTCGCTTGCTTTTGCTTGCGTTTGTTTCTTCTCCAAATCGCTTTTTCTTCGTTTGATTGGGGAAATTGTACTAGGGGCGGGTAAATGAGGAAGACTGGTTTTATTTGGAATGGAAACTGGAGTGATATCGTTGATTACGTGGTGGAATATGTTCAATAGTTTCATGATGAACGTCAGATATTGTTCACAAAGGGATCTGAACGATTTGTCGGAAAACATGTGCCACAAATATGGCTTCATATCAGTGGGAGGTTCTATTTTACAAACGGAATAACCTAAAACAATAACCCTAGGTAGTACAGCAATTATTCTCCAAAACAAGGCAAAATTAATTTTAAACGTCGATTAATGTAATTGCATTTCGGCAACACTCCAAATGCCAAAAAAAAAATAGGCTGAATTATTCAAATCTGTAATAACATTGTGAACATTGGAATAATAAACATTGAAAAAAATCTATTAATTATTAAATTAAGATAAAGAAGTTTTGTATCTGTATATGTCAACTTTGCCTATATATACAGTGTGTCCCACTTAAGAACCGTACACCCTAGTATAACTTTGTTTATAGATTGATTTTGATTTTTTTTTTTGTTGGATAGCTCTCGGAAAAATGTAATAAAACCTTGTTTTGCTCATAGCGTTAACCTAAAGTCATGCTGGGGCTATTTAACAAAAGAGAGGGAAGAGAGAAGTACTATTAGGAATTAAAAAAATAAATAAATTGGCAACGAATTCTTATTCAGGAATACTTAGAACCAAACTATACCATTTTCATAATGTTTCAATACAGGTTATTTGAAATATCGTCTATGATCTGCTTAAGGGTGTACCTCGTTGTAAAATCTTTGATTACGATTTGATTTTCATTTTTTTTTTTTTTTTTTGGATAGGTCTCTCACTGTATATGAAAATGTTATACCTAGGTTGAATAAATGTTAGTGGCAGTTACCTGCAAACAAATTGGCAGCTAAACTGATCACATGGATCTGAAACCTGATGTCATACACATGGGCGGAGCCCGTCAAAAAGTTTATGCACAGACTCAACAAATCTGGCACTTCACTTGACACTACCCCAACCGAATTGCTCGATTTAGATGCCTTGAGATTGGTCCACGCTCTTCTATACACTGTACACGGGTAACGAGTCGACAGCATAGACAAAGCTTCGACACAACCAAACTGAACGAAAGTAAAGACAGCCGGTATAAATAAAATTTAGCAATCCGTTATCCTCACTTACAATGAAATGCTTCGAAGACGACTTCAGCACACTAATGTACAAATTCGATACTATTTTCGATAAAGTGAACTCTAGCCTATCACAGCCCTCATGAGCAATATATGAATACGGGGTGGGCATATTTTCCATAAAATGCCTTATATTTAAATTATGAGTATCCAGTTTCCTGGTACTTAAACTAGTGAGATATAATTTGCAGTATTCTATGGCCTTAGCAACTACTACCGAATCTTTCGGACAAAAGTCGTCGTAATAAAATTTTTTTACGATTCTGAAATGAAATTGGCAAGGCATCAATCGAAAACACCCGATTCTTCATTATACTCAGCGACGGCGTTGGCTGATGCGGTCCTTATCCTCTGGTCATAGTCCTGCAGCAATAGCAGTAAAACATTAAACGTTTTATTCTGAAATTTATTGTTTCCCGTCACGTGATATATGGTCGTGTAGCACAACTTCGCTACCAATTCAGCCAATGCCACCTACAAAAGATCCATGAACCTTGGTGGCAACCTTCTTTTGTGTTCGACATTACCTTTACCAGCCAGTAAGGATTATATGCCAAAAATGGCAACCTCGCTAAAATTGGTAAGACGTGCTGATTTTTTGACGACACCAAAATTCCATTCAGAACTGGACATAAATTTAACAAAATTTGACGTAAACAATTCGCATTTTCATCTTGGAGACCCTGAAATTCGTTTTAAAAATGAAGGTCGGTAGCTTTTAATTTAATTTCGCAGTCTTTTAATATTTAATGCGGGCAGTATTGCCAAATTGTGATGGAAATTTGTGAAAACCGTAGCACAATGAACGCTTTCAAAAATGTCGAGATTTCGATATTACCTTTAATAATATATCTATGAAGTTATCAATTTCAGAAAAACAGTCCTGATGCCCATTTACACTTATCCATACGTCAAACTCCTTTCCGCTTTCATGCAATATTGCAACAATTAAATTTGCAATTAAACTTCTTAACGCTCCCCTGAGCTGTAGGTCTGGATGGTCTGCAAATAAGACAATTTCCGATATCCTTTGAGGGCTGACTCGGTACCCCTTGCTGACGCTATTGCAATTTTTATCCAAGAATTGAAAAAATCCCGCTGGATAAATGCGGAACACAGACGACAGACAGGACAGAGCCGAAGCTTTCACAGAAACTCTGACCAATTTGTCGCTGACATATCTTTTTGGCACCCCAGACAGAAGGAAGGACTTTGTTATAAATCTGGTGCAATATAAGAGAGGAACTGACATTTCCATATAATCTCCAACATCCAATTCCTCAAAGAAAAAACAAAACTGCAGTTGCTAATCATAGTTTTCATAATCTTTGTCAAAAAATTAAAGGAGGAGCAGAAGCAGAACAAATACAAAACAGAAATTTATGAAATTACCTGATATTCTACTTCGTCTAAATCACATGCTACAGAATAACTGTTTTCCGATGATCGATCACTCAAAACGTCCAACTGATCTCCAACACTACTGCTTTTACGTTTGATTTCAAAAATTTCAGGCATTTTTTCGCCAGAGAGATCAATAGCCTGAAAATTTGAATCTGAACACCCAGTTAAAGTATCTACAGATACCGATTTGTTTGTTGTGATTGTAAGTGGTACATTAATTACTGACAGTTTTGACTCTCCTATCCATTTTTCAATCATGTCTGATTCAATAGTTTCAGTCAGTTCACAGTCCGAGAATAAATTATCATCCACAGAAGTTGAGTTCGTTACAACACTCAGTTGACCTTTAAATTTGTGATTAAGAAAATGGATTTCAAATTTATAGTTAAAATACTTACTAGGAGATTTGAGATGGCTTACATAATGATTTTTATATATTCTCGCTTTATCAATTCCTCTAGGATTTAATAATGTAGCCTTAAGTTCAACACTGGCCGTTTGAAGCAAGATGTTTAGAGTTTCAAAAGCTGCATTGATAACATTATGATTTTCACTTTTTAAATAATACATACATAGTTCATATATCTATAAAAGAAAACAAATTTAAAGTTACTATAAAAAATGTAGTGAAATTCACACAAATCACCTGCAACAATTTGATTAGAGGGAATATTTGAATTTCTTCCCTAGATGATCCAAAATAATTTATTGGTGTATCCTTTAAATAAGGCAATAAGACTTTTAAACATCCAAGTACTCCCATTATTGTTGGTATATTTTGCTTGTCTTCAACAGGAATTACCAAATCTACAAAAAAATATAGTTCCTTTGTTATATCTTTTTCTTTAAATAGCTCACCAACTATAAATAAAACCTACCAAGGACATTGTCAGTACAATAGGTCACAAATGTATAAGGCCTCTTAGAATTCAGGCAAATAATCAAAATGGAACTTGCAGATGTTCGTCTAATCACTGCAGATGGGTTAGAGATGTTTTTTAAAAATGACTTTAACAAAATCTAAAACCAAATTCATCTAAATGTACCAACAGAATTAAGAGAAATATTGAGAAAAATTAGATCTAATGACTTACAACTTTTAATAATATTTTACAATTGATTGAAATACCTTAGTTTCATTTTCTGGGGCAAAGCAACCCAGCACTTTCATAATTTTTGGCAAACAGCTAGCTAAAGTCTCGTGAATGGACTCTTCACTTCTCTCAGTAATTTTTATAATACTGGGAAACAAGTTAACAATATAGGGTTTTCCTTTGTGTGGTCTAATGTGGTGAGCCAACTGAGAAAACCTCATTAAAGCTAAACGTAGGGACCTAGCTGATCCATTCTTTTTAATCTCCTTATGCAGCTCAATTTGAACTTTCCCTATGTGCCCTTCAGTGACCGACTAAAGAGAAACAAAATCTGTTCGTAGCATGCCGTTACTAATTATACACAACCATACCCTTATAATTTTGTTTAGACATTCATCACTTCTCATTCGTACATCAGAATCTGAATCATCGCAAAGAGTTAAAAATGTTTCAATTGTCACACCAAGTAGTACAGAGAAGTTAGCTGATATTCTGATTGTTGGATTCGAAATAGCTTCCGTTATGACCAAACAATGATGAATTTTTTCTTTTTTCCTAAAAGAATAGAGTTGGAATCCAATACAAGATATGTAAATAATTGTAGATGCACTTCGCGTTGTCCGTCTGTTGATTAGAATTCAGCAGGTTTTTTAGAGATTCCAGTGATTTTTGTAGTTTTTCTTGAGTCGCCATAGTGGATTTACATTTTTCAAAAAAATTTGCCTTGAATTAACTTTTTGGGATATTCTATAAATTTTATTATCGTGCCATAGAATACTAAAATCGCTGTTCTTTCACATTCAAAGACTGACGTTATCATTGAAAACCACAGATGGTTCAATTCAATTCAATGATGCGTTTCACAGATAACTGTTGGGCAAGACTACCAGGATCATTCGCCCAACCACAGATGGTTCAAAGTTCAAGTTCACTTATGCGTTTCACAAAAAAATTTTGGGCTCGACTGCTAGGATCATTCGCCCATTGCCGACTTCCGTCGAGGATCTTCGCTTTTGGTCATGGACCAACACGTACAAAGAAGACATATAACCAATATTTGCTCAACTAGCAAAAAACAATTTTGACCGATACCAAAAAAACCGATACCCCCCCGCTTCCACCCGGACCATCCAGCCTCCATACCGGCGTGAACGGTTAAAACAACGGGGCCGGCGGAGCTTTTACACTTAAAACAAACACCAAACACTGCCGAAACAGAGTCACACAAATTGAAGACCGATACCAAAGGTTTTTAGAACGAATTCAGCGGATTCTGCTAGGAGCGAACGGAGGTTAGACCGCCGCGTGCAATGCTCCACCACAGAATCACCACAGATGGTAACTTCGGCTTCGGTTTAGATTATCAAAAACCAAAAGTTTTTTTTTTCAAATTTCATAAGTAGTAGCCAAGCATATTATTAATATAACCTGATTGGGTGACACTTTCTTGCAATAAATAAAGGTGTATAAAGCAAATATGTTTTTTTAACTGATAAAAATTAATGTTAATGACGCATCTAATTTTAGTTGGTAAGAATTTGAATGGAAATGTAAAAAACGAAGCTTGTTAAAATGATCCATAACTTTCCTGGTTTTTGTCACTGCATCCAGTCCTAGTACTCGTCTACTTTAAACGCATCAAGTAGGTCGTGACGTGAAAGCTGCCGTCTGTGTAGGTGGATTCAGCCTTCGACAGATATAGCTAATGAACAAGTGTCCTTAGCATGTTTTCAAGAATTGAAAAAATTTAAGAAGAAGAAATCGTCTGTCACAGACTACAAAGAAAGTTCTAGTACTTTGAGTATCTAACCAATGGCGTATTTAATCACAAACCAGAGCCCAAAAAAAGAAAACTAGTTTAACGAATTTCGTTTTAAATTTCAACTTAAAAAAATAAAAATAAAAAAAACGGGTTATCTTAGCGGTCGCAATTTTACATTTTAAGTATAAACATTATTAAATAGAAGTTGGACTAAATTTAAATCTGATTCTATAGTAAATTTAAACGCTAGTTAAGTTGAAAAATAACTTAAATAATTCCAATCTCCTTAGTAATATAACAATAACTTAATGTAAAAACACTCCTGGGATAAGCAAACAGGGAACTGTTGTTGGTTTATTTGCCATTCTATCTTACCATAGGATACCATGCAATGAAACGAGAATCACTAGCGTAGTAGTTAATAACTGACCGAAGCTGTAAAGACTGCAAACACTATAGGCGGGACCTTCAAAAATTATGTATGGCCTATTATTGAGGGTGCTTACCACCAGGTTTTAGTTTATTATTTACAAATCTTCTGATTCCCCCTGAGATGCGATTACAATTTTTTGGTTGCTTATAGATTTCTTTGGATTCTCGGATTTTTCTTTGATAGAAGAATTGATTATATGCAAGAATTTTAGTTTTATCAAATATGATTTGATGTCCGGTTTCATAATTGTGTTTTGCAACTGCTGATGAGTTTGTCATAGTCTTGAGGGTCTTTCATGTTCTTTTTGGCCTAGTTGATATTTTTCGTTCCCTTTCTCCAGTGTATTCTTTGCCGCATATGCATAGAATACTGTAAGCCATTGGTATCTCAAACGAAATTTCATATTTGAGGGATCGAAGATGTTGATAGATTTTTGGTTTGGTTTTAACATTACTAACTTTTGGGTTTGGGTTTGGACTCGCATTCTTTAGAAGGTTGTGGTGAAATGTATTTTGTGATGGGACGCTTAATATCTCTAATTAATATCTAATCACTAACTAAATTAGGTTTTGTTTAACTGTGTATATAGGGAGATCAGTTTTGTTAAAACTATCATGTACAAGGTAGTTAAAAAAAAATACGAAAAACTTAAGGGGGTGTTATATAAACGTTGGGTCAAAAATCAACAATAAGCGCTACAAATATGGAGAAAAAATGTTTTCATTTTTTATCTTAAAAACGAAAATGTATTTTTTCATGTAATAAATCTTTGGATTGCTTTAAATTTTTTTATTTAGAAACGGTAAGTATTATGAAGCAATTACAGGAGACAAAAAAGTTTCTAAATAAATATAATAGAAAAAAAATATATACGTTGTTTATGTCAATACATAAGTTTTTCCTTAAATTTAGTTAAGAAGAATAACAGGGGTAAATAAATAAATAAATAAATATATAATATATAATAGTAATACTTCCGTAACCTTTTATTCTTCGTTCGTTTTCTATTTTCTATTTTCGTTTTAAATTAAAAAATATAAACATTATTTCTCTGCCATATTTGTAGCAAGATTTCTCGCTAGTGGTTGGCTTATAACAAAATTCCATTTATTTTGAACAAGGAATCACCCCCTTAAGTTTTCCATATTTGTTTTGAAACACCCTGTATAAATTTTTTAGTTTTAGCTCTAATGAACACAAAAATAGTCATATTATTACTATATTCATATTTCAATCGCACTCACAAAGTTTATAGTGTACAGAACCGATAAAATAAGTAAAATAAAATGTATAGGTCTATCGGAGACTTATCTGGCAGCTAAAATATTCCAGACTTTTTCATTAACGTTTATAGGCATAAAACAGTTACTCCGCATTGTTCACCAAAATTTGATTGGGGACAAGCGGGTTATTCCAATCAACTATTCGATATCCATGCCCACATCCTGTTAAGCATTTCGTCGAATCGTGTATATACATACGTAGGTTACCTATATCTATGATCTAATTTTTCATTTATAGGTGCGTTCCGTATCAATAAAGCAAATGGGATTTTGAGATATCCCTGACCTTATCAGACCCGCTTAATTATCCGGAATTTTTCTCTTTATGAACCGATGACTAACTGTAAAAGGTCTAAATCTATTATACTCCCATTAATCAAGGATGTCGCGAAGAACAGGAAACGACAATTTGTGTAATTTGCTTTTTAACTATTAGTAATTTTCTAATTGCTGTTGTAGGTACCTCTACCTACGTCTTGGTCGATGATTGACTCGGATAAAGAAAAACGAGGATTCTTTAAAATGAAGAGAGAAAAAGATAAAAACTGATGTGAAAATATGTACTTCCCGGTAAATGGTAATACGAAAGGAATCATGCTAACAGCCTTAATTAGTTAATACTTTTCATTACATGTGGGATTTAATACAAAAACCACAATTATAATTTGGTGCATTGCATATAATAACAACCGCATTGTACTGTATAAGATAGAAGATATATTGATTGAAATTTTAGCGATGACATTTTAACGACGTATAACCTTAATTCAAGAAATTAAAAGATATAGATGGATACATAGCTGGATACACGCGATAATGTATCCAAATGATGGGTTGATTTCACTCAAAATTGTTAGACGAAAGCACTTTCAAATAAAGGAAAACGCATCACGATAGTACACATGGGCATACAAGTTTCGGACTCTGAATAATGGTTTCAAAACAATCTCTTCAAAAATATTCCCAATAAATGTCATGGATAACGCAATTTACCACAGCCGTTTGTTACGCAAGGCACTATTAACTTGAAAAACTGAAATCCGGGAGTATTTATTAGAAAATGATATTTATTTTGAATTCAGTTACAAAAAAACGCAACTTCTGGAGGTCCCAAATCCATATGCAATTAAAAAACAGTATGTATGCGATAATTTGGCTGAACAGGCTGGGCATACTGTTTTACATCTTACATAAACAAACAAACTTTGAGAGTCCGTCCCTAATGTTCTGTCCTTAAATACCTACCATTCCATGGAGAGCCCTTAATTCGGAATAAAATATTAAATGCTGATAAAATTTAAGAGGTGTCTGATAGTTATACTTCTTGAATTATGAGGGTTTAATAACACACACGGAAGCGTTTTATTTTAAGAAGGATATATTAAATATTGGAATTTATAAGAAAACTAACAAAATTCATCCAACACTTGGTCCACCATTCCACCGCGTGCTTGTTCTCTAGTCACGTAGGCCAAAAAGGAAGTTATTTCAAAAACAATACATGTAATGCCATCTATATGACAATAACTGCGTTCTGCACTAATACATTCAACAATACTTACCACGGAAAATGTTCTTGCAGCTTAATTTTTGTCTCTTACTATGTGTTCAGATCCTAACGCTATGAAATAAGTTTACTTTTAAAAACATTTCGCAGGTTGACACAGTATATTAACATTCGAACATTGCGCATCTCGCTCACCACCCTTCAACACTCTTTTTACATCAGGGAATATTCCGCTGACATAAACACTGTTTTCCAAGTTACCGACCTCACACCAATGACGTTATGTTCAGCTTGAATGTAGTGGCATATTCACAGTCACCGTCAAATACCAAAACAAACAAACAAATAAATAAATAATCGTTTATTGACCACTTCTAAATACAAAAACGTATTTTTGAAGTCAGGAAGAGTACAAACAAGATAAATATATTACATACAAACAGTTTAACCAGTGTAACCAGAAAGTAAAACTTTGTACACTCTAAGGATAATTAATTTTTAAAATAACTTAGATCTACTGTGCCTGATGAGTAACAAATTCGTTTATAGAATAGAAACAATGCTCTTCAAAAAAACCTATTTGATAGTTGTTTGAATTTTTTAATGGAAAGTCGTTTAACATCAATATTTTTGGACCGAAAAGGAATGTTTGCAAAAATTTTTTTATGTAGTACACAACCTCGACCTTAATGTTATGATATTGTCAGCTGTTCGCGTCATGTGACTGTGATGAGTCGGAAAAACAGACAAATTTGAGTGGATTTCAACTATAGTTTGGAGAATAAACATACATGGTAACGTAAGTATTTTCAATTTTTTGAATATCAGGTAGTCTATATGAGGCGACCAGGTTAAAAACGCATCTAGGTAAACAGGAAGGAGTTTGACCGGTTCAGATTTTTTACTTCTTCTATTGGTATTGAAAATTAGAGTCTTTGTTTTATCGGAATTTAATTTAATTTTATTTGCAGAGATCCACTGCTTAATCATGGAGAGTGTAGTGACAGCCTTTTTATTTAAATTAGTTAGATCTTTATCCGATTCAATAAATGATGTGTCATCCGCATAGAGTATACTATACTACTACGTCATTTATGTATACTATAAACAAAAGTGAACCAAGGATGGTACCCTGAGGCACTCCATTAGTAATGTCCAACAGAGTGGATTTCCGATCATTCCAGACAACATATTGCTTTCTTCGGGTCAAAAAAGATTTTAAACGATTTCACGAATTCCGTAATATTTAAATTTAGAAAGAAGTATATTAGTATCCACGCAGTCCAATTCCTTGCTGAGGTCGCACATCTTTACCGAAGTCGACAGGCCTTCCTCAAACCCATCAACCACATGCTCAATCATTATGTATAAGGCACACATATATTCAATAGCAAAATTGAAACCCACAAAGCAGCCGCAAGTAGATAAAAACCTAGTTAGCCACCAAAAACAGAGCACTCAGAAAAATTGACAGTTGTTTGGTTTAATCACATTTAAAAGCTGATCACGCATAATATGTCTTGGTTAAGATTAAGTCCTCTGTGGAGTCATTAATTTTCATTTGAATGATTGTATTCAAATGTACATGAGACAAAGCTACAGTAAACTTTGTATTCTGTGGTTCAGTTTGTGGTATCTATCAGTAGACTGATATATACTACTTTAAGTAAGAATTTACTTTATATTAAGAAAGTACATGGTGCTAATGCATTTGTAATTCAATAGGTAGAACATAAATTGAAAAGCTGATACTTAAATATATAATTTAGTTTATAATAGCCAAGCACTTTCCTATAAACAAGAATTCATTCGCTTTCGCACCCTTTTGCGATTCGGAGTAAAAGGTGCAGAGGGGATAATTTTTATAAGACAGAAACCTAAAACGCAAAACACAACGAAACTCAAAATAATTCTTAAGAATGGTTAAACACAACCATTTGATTTGGTCTGCGGTTTGGAATTGCCTATTATCAGCGTGCTAAATCGATTAACAGCCCATCCGACAGAGTTTCAGACGCTCTAATTAACTTATAGCGACTACTTTAGGATGCTGAATACCGAAAATTAATTTAATTAAGTACGATGCGATAGAAGATGGTCCGCTAACAACCTGAACGACTTCCTCTTGTCCCAAACGCACATCGCGACGGTAACCTCAGCCGGTGTATAGAAAGTAAGAGTCATCTAACCGCTACGGTTAGAAGAATTCGCCCAAATCAGCACTTCGTCGATGCGAAGTCAATCGGCCGCCATTCCAGCTGATACAGCGGCAACGACAGCACCAAAGCACCGCTAATCTCAAGTTCACTATTGCCTACGGTTCATAATCGAATCGAAAGTAACCGACCTCCGACCAGTGGCATGGCATACACTTTTGTAGATTTAAAAATACTTGATCGGGGGATATTTTTTTTCTGGATCTCGCTCAGCCCAGAATTCGTTCAAGAGTTTTCTGTCCATTATATTTTCATAACTGTAACATGGAACGCTTTTGTGATTTTTTAATATTTATGGATATGTCGCTAAAATTGTTGAATCAGTAAATACAGATATGTTTAATTCTTCAATTTAAAAAAGGTTCCGTAAAAAAATTGTGAAATTATAGCTTTTTATAAAATTTAGAGCAGATGTATTGCCATTTAAGGCAGTCTGTTATTTAATATTTAATTCACTTTTACTCCTGTCGAGGTAATTTTGAATAGATCACTTGCAAAAGAGATCGCATTGACAAAATTACGATTGATTTTCACCCTTTGAGAACTCCATAATACTGTGCGGCGCGCACTAGTCAGTTAAAAAGAAACGCCGGAACTCTCAAATATAAATAATCGATAGATAGAGACGTTTTATAAATTATTCAACTTGTGTATGGGAAATAGTGACTTTGTTATCTTGGACGAAATAAATTTAAAGTTTCGTTAAGTTTCACGCGGAATAATTTGATGATTTAAATTTGATTAAAATTTAAATTTATAGCTTTAACAAAATTGATTTGTGAAAGTTTCTTGCATTTTTTTTAAATATAAAAAAAATTATAAAGGAAATTTCTATTTCTATTTCTATAAATTCTTTCAGTCAGAAGAGTTATCCAAACTTTTCACTTTCTCACATAGTGGATCGTCAGGCTTGAAAGGCAGAATCTACTAATTATTATCAAAGTTGACAAATTGGATACTTTCATTATTTTCTCAACTGAACTTAAGCCCTTCCCGTTAAAACTGTTGTTTTATTTTATTAACATCTCTAGTTATATATATCACCATCTTAATGTTTTTCTATGTAACACTACATTCTCTAGTTAGCATAACGGCGACAATAAAAACGCAAATTAAAACGCTTAAATGGTGAATGGCCCACAAAACTTTTAAAATTTACTGCTCTCTTGGAAAATTAACCTCAGGCGCTTGCCCAAGAATTTTTGTAACTTAAATTGAACGCGGGTGGCTAAAAATTCGAACGGTTCAAATGTTATTCCACCAAGCCACAAATTTCCTGCTTCAAATATACCCTTGCTTCATTGCACTGTGTTTATTTTCTGGAGCAGTAGTGTCCGACTTTGTGTCGAAGTTTTCATTTGTTCTAAAAATATGTAGCTATAAAACTACTTTTTTCAAAAATCTTCAATGATTATGTTAAAAATACTGTCTATTTTTCACATCACTTGGAAGTATGACAAGAACCACGTATATTTTTTTTATGATCATTAAATTTTATTTTATATTTTAATGTTTATTCTTATCTTTATTCTAATTTTCCCATCTTCTTTGAAAATCATGAGTTGGACAGTTATTTGTATATTCTAAATCATTACGGGAGTAATTTTTAAATTTTTACATAAACACACACGTAAATGTAAGTTGTCATTTTGAAAAGTTTGGATCAAAAATTAAAATAATATATTGAACAAAATATAAATTAAGTAAAAATAATATTTTCAAGAAATTAAGAAAAATGGTAAATAAAGATATAATGCTTTAATGTCTAACTTTAATTTATATGAAATAATATACATTTTCAACATTTACATTCATTTTTTACTTAGACTATAAGAGACTGGACTGATTTTATCTCAGTTTCTTGTCTTAATCGTTGAGATAATCTGATATACACTCCAAAAAACACTTTTTTCATAGTAGAGTTTTATTTTACATCTAAATAAAAATAAAAATTAAAATAATAAAATAAAAAATTTAAATAAAAGTAGAAGCTCATCTAGGTCACCGTTTATTTAGTACAAATAAAAATGAACGCAAAAATCTACTTTTAACCCATAACCGTAATCCGTATTGGTATTTATACCTGGAATCCAAAGTGCGCATATTCTAGAAGTGGAAACTAAACTCCAGTTTTGAATAAATTGACATTAAATCGCCGGATCCTCAATAAATACGGTTTTTATATTAAAAAACAGTGTCTTAAACTTTTATTTTTCATCGACTATGTTTTGTTCGCCGCTTTTTATAGCTTTTTACATGCCAGACATAAGTCAGTCCCTTCTCTACGAGAGATCCAAAGAAAATGTCTGTGTGTGCAATAAGGTACGTATGTTAAATTATTGATCGGAAACTTACCCGACCAGCCAATAACTTTTGCTGCGGTGGAAAATTGCTCATCCATATTTATCCATATTGTCTAATAGCAATCTATATTTTTGAACGGTCATGTGTGTGCAAGGAGAAAAGGGATTAGTTCAAAAGAATTTTTGTTTGGCCGCATAAAAAAATATCATCTTCTTAATTTTATTTCTGTTTTTATTTTAAATCTCAATTTTATTTCTATTTGTGTGTGCCAACCACAAATATTTAGGTTTAGTTTAATTTGTCAGGTTTGTATAGGGTTTATGAAACTTTCAAACCTGCATATCAACCTGACGTGTCTCCAATAACTTTTGCCTATGCCAAAAACTGCTCAAAAGCCGCGATCACCAATAAAACGAATCGCCGTTGATATCGCCCCCGAAAATTTCAGCCGCTCACCCGGTTAATTAGTGGACCGCCGATAACATCTTACGTAACAATGTCATTCGTTCCCTCTACCGCACGCCCATGGCTGTCTCCGATTGCCTTGTAGCTGCACACTTTCATATATATCTTTCGTTCTGCACCTAACACTATACCCACAACACTTGGTAGGCCATGTCCAAGAAGAAGGCCGACGCAGCAGTCGCTTAGTTACGTTCGTTTCGATATTTGGGCGATGTGCAATTATTATTGACGTTGTTTCGATCGAGCGATGTTCGTTTGTTTATCGATTTGCCGCGCGGTGATGTGCTGTGAGTGAGGATTTAGCATGGCTGCGCGGGTGATGGACCGTTTTCAAGGAAGCGAAAAGTTGTTGGGCGCATCGCGCGTGAATAACTGTCGCAGCGGGATACACTCGACGTACCGGAAGTGAAATTGAACGTAAGTTTTTTTTTCCGACGCGGAAAAATGGCGATTGTGTATACGACCAATTATCGGCGAATATGGTATAATCGTTTGAAATGAAAGCGCTTCGGTTCAGTTGTTCCGGCAAGGGGGACAATCCAGTATAGGGTAATTATACACCGGGTGTTCATTTCGAATATCTCGAAATGCGATAAAAAAAATTTCGAGACTTTTTGTTCTAAACTTGCGTCAATCTTCACCCCTTAGAAACCCTTTAGTTGACCTCGTCTGAGCTCTTATTTAAAAGCAACCTTTATTTTTAATTTTTTCACATTGGCTTGTTTATTTTCTAGTAAATTGGAAAATTTTATTTCTCTGTTCCGCAAAAGCACTCTTTCGAGTGCTTTATGGAGGTGGCTAGCAGATGTGAAGCAGTTTTAGCTGAAAAGTATGTTTGGTATATGCGAATCAATGCTATTTTTGTTGTATAGTGTCTTTAAAAAACTTTCTTGCTCAGGTCATTTTATGAAAAAAGTGCCCATGAAAGATAAAAGGTAGCAGGGTGTTAAAGTTTTTGAGTAATGTTTTTTTAATTAATTGAAATATCTTTGCACGAATTTGACCTTAACTCAATTTCGATACTTCTCTGCGATTGGGGGAGTAAAAGTAGATACTGCATTCATGTCCATTTATCATAAAAATATTTTTCAACATTCCAATAATATTTGCGAACAATTCGACTAAAAATAATTTAAAATTTATCATACAAAAAATTTATAAAAACTGTTGAAGCTGACCACCTCCCGGCCGGAATCCAATCTCCTCATGGACTGGCAAATTCTGTCAAAAATACCCGGGTATAACCGAGCAACGATTCGATCCCTTAGGTCTTTTACATTTTCCACACGGGTAACGTATACCAAAATCCAAAGGGTTCAAATCATTCCAATCCAGCGATTTCTGTATCTTATTGCAAAAAACTCCCAAGAAATCGATGCAAAATGAGCTGGTACATAAACCACATTGGATTTCTTGTGACGAATTGTACGTGCCTTCAGGAACTCAAAAAGCGTGTATTCCAAAAAGGCGCGATATATGTGCCAAATTTCAAACAAACCCCTGAGAGGAATAAATTGAAAAAAACATTATTAAAGACAATGGCATCTTAAAAACAATGCATTTCCGGTCCTAAATTTTTGGTTAGTCTTTCTTCCTCATAAAATGATCTCAGAAATCAGTCCCTTAAATATTAGCGCATCTTTTTTAAACACCCTGTATATTGTATTATACAGCTTAATAGAATCCAATTTTTCTTATCTCATGTTTTGTTTGGTTTGTTTATTTTTTGGCTTTACTTGATTATAATTATATTATGAGTTGAAGTTAAATTAATATTATAAGGGCGTAGTTCTCTAATAAAAAATAAAAATAAAAGCTCTTTAATGCTTTTCTGCTTACCTTGACATGAAATTTTATGACTTATATAAAATGTATTGGGGACACTGTTGATTTATAATCCTATACCTTGGACTGTTTTTCGTTGTCAAAGTCCCAATAATATTAACATTACCACGCCACTGGCTAGTAAAACTGCTTGTGCAAAATTTCGTTGAAATTGTTTTGTTAATAAACAGTTAAAAAATATTTAATGAACTGTTTATGATTACTTTATTAACTGTCTTGGTGTGGTACTTCGCGGTGTTGCCGGTTTTTCAATTTGTTTCCAATCCACCAAAAACTTAAAAGAAGTGTTCCTTTAAAACGCTTCGTTAAATACTACCTACGGGTTTGAGAGCGTTCGGATGTATTGTAGATACTGATGGTATTTTTTGAGGTTTGTCAATTTTGACCGTTAGGACTGACGTCACTCAGTGAATGTATTCGTGCTCTTTTGCAAAAAAGGTCCTCAAGCGGTAGTAGAAAAAGTATATAAAGCATTCAGAAATGTGTTATTAGTTGCGGTTGGACATTTTTAAAGCACTCGTCAAGAGTGTCCCATTCCATTGACCATTGCAGCACTAGTTCTTATAAACTCATATTTTTCAAATTTTCTATTCTAATAAGCGGGTTCTATAAAATTATTTGGGTAGGTAGATATAGTCGAACAATCATCATAGAATCAAAGAATAAGGTTCTTTTTAACAAAGCAGTATACATTCTTGTATATAAATTGTTGAAACAGTATGTTTTGTTCCCTAAATTTACCTTACATTGACTGTGTCACGCCCATATTTAGTAAAAATACGCAAAGTTCTCTTTTGGCAAATAAGAAGGTTACGAAAGTATCTGCTGTTATTGCATGTAAGCGGATTAAAAGACTTTTTATTCTGTAAAGAAAAAAAGCTGTATATTTCGGGCATACATTCCTGCAAACAAATATTTGTCTCATTAATTTTCATCGCTAGAAATGAAGAGACGCGAGTGGGATCGTGACGATCATATACGCCGATACTATCACTTTCTGTTATTGGTGACATCGAATTCACTCGAATCTAGGACAAAGTCTGCCGCGTGTCGACGATTTCATCGACGCCATTCCAAAACCGGTGCCCCCCAAATTTCGATCGCGATCGGAAGGAACTGCTTTGTTTTTCATTTCATCGGATACATTCTTCGACGCCTCAATGTTACGGTTTACGGGATCGTTCGTGAAAACCGCTTACAAAAATATAGCAAGTAGGTTGTGGGACTGACCGATCAATTTTTTTGCCAACTGAGTGAACTAATTTTAAAAATGCAATGAAATTTATATGTATTTATTTATATTTACTAACCAAAACTAAATTGAGTGAATATTTTACTTTTTACAAAACTTCTAGATTCCTCCGGCGTCGGTTTTTGCTGAGTCGAACTTGCTGACGTTTCGCCAATCATCCTGTTGGCTTTTTCAGAGCTTGACTGAAACTGGCCCGTATTTTACTCTGTACCTGCTTACATATTGTTGACGGGCATAAACACAGTCTCGGATGCGATACTTGGTGACCTGAGTCGTGGTTAAGATTGTTAGGTCGTTTATAGATTTCTATAGATTCTCGGATTTTTCGTTGTTGAAGAACTCATTGCATGCAAGAATTTTAGTTTTGGTTAGTTCTTTGAGTCTAGTTGATATTTCTCGTCCGGTTTCTCCAATGTATTCTTTGCCGCATATGCATGGAATGCTGTAAACTCCTGGCGTCTCAAATGGAATCTTGTCTTTGACGGACCGAAGATGTTGAGAAATTTTTGGACAAGTGGTAAATCTAAAAGTATCATCGACGTAGCTTTTCAATAATTTTGGTCTTAGATGAAAGGTGTCGGGAGCTTTTTTCTCAACAGTTAAAACGCATTACATTAGATACACAAGACATTCTATTCCTGAAAAAGTCCGAGAATCTGGAACCCAACCTTCCCATCTTAATTGAGAAATGCTTGTCGGGAACATATTTTTCTTATAACGGTCAAATTTTTGAGCAAACGTGGGGAACAGCTATGGGTTCTCTACTATCACCAGTCATCGCGAATATATTTATGGAAGCCTTTGAGAAAAAAGCTCTCGACACCTTTCATCTAAAACCAAAATTATCGAAACGCTACGTCGATGATATTTTGTTATCTCTATCACCAATATGGGAATCAGTCATCCGAGACGGTGTTTATGCCCCTCAAACAATATATAAGCAGGTACAGAGTAAAATACGAACCAGTTTCAGTCAAGCTCTGAAGAAGCCAACAGGATGATTGGCGAAACGTCAGCAAGTTCGACTCAGCAAAGACCGACGCGGGAGGAATCCAGAAGTTTTGTAGAATGTATTAAGAGTGGATATTTTTATTGCAATTCCCCGGATTGCTAAGTATCGATTGATAAGAGTTAATGAACATCGAAAATGCTTGTTATCTGAAACATTTCGATTGAATTTGACTAGTCAATTGATTAGTCCCAACACTAGGTGGTTACTTACGCGTAAATTTCGATTCTTCAAGTTCGAATTTATCTACCGTTTTGAAATATTCTCATTTGTCACACTTCCTTATCGTTTCTTTAAATTCAAGTTTGCTTGAAAAATCTCCTAGTTGGAGGGGGTACGAGACTTTCGTTTCAGTCTAAAGTTAATTAAACAACAAACTAAAATATGCTTATTGGTCTCTATCTGAAAAAATGTTACTGATAAAAGTTGTTCCCTTTTTAATTTTGCACATGCATCTAGAATTTGAACGTTATATTTTGCAAAACTATTTTATATATTTGATCTTGTCATACCACTAACATTCAATTTAAAAGGATAAACGACATTTAAATAAAATATTGCTTTATTCTTGAAAATTGTTGATGAAAGTTCAAGGTGCTTCTGTTCAAGTTCCTCATTTTTAAGGTTTTCTGAAACAAAAGTTGATTCTAATAAAAGTTGAACCGAACTTTCCGAAGTACATTGGGACCAAGCAAGTTGTTTTCTCATGGGAACACATCTTCTTTGCAGAGATTGAAAACTTTTTATGCATACTACATATTTCAAGAGAGCTTAAATTTAGTCCAAGTAGTAAAGTAGTAAAAAATATAAAGGCTGTTGCGTACCAATATTCAAAATTGCAGTCAATTTATAAAAAGTAGGCCACATGCCTTAAACTTCTAACCTTAACTTCGACCTATAATGATTTGAATTTGTTAGTTGGTGGGAACTGAAGGTTGGACGTTATTCTGTGTGATTGTGTGTCATCTTTCTAGACCATAAACGATAATAAATAAAAATAATTCTAAAAAATACTATTAATGTTATAACCATAACTAAGGGACACAAAGGAAAAATAATCACAATGTGACAAATTATTTAACTATTAACCTAAACTAAGAGTTCGAACTGCCGAACCGCCCACACTAAACCGACAGCATTTTTTAATACTGTTGAAGGCATTAATGAGTACTAAAGGCCTTAGTGGTTATTCCATCCATATTTTTTCCGCAGAGCAAAAAATCTTGAGATCTTATCGGCCAACTTTATGAAAAATTGCTTAGGAAATGGTTTTCGCAATTAAATTTATTTAAAAAAATTAAAAAGTTGCTTGACACTGTTCCAGATAGCGAAGTTTCGTTTGAAACACACGTTTTTTTTTTTAATAAAATTCGAGCCAAAGAACCGGAACAATTTATTTGACGCGCTACGTACGGAGGATAGGTGATTCAAAACAGTAAATGATAAAGCACGTGGCTCGAGAAGGTAGTTCGAGATATACGATAATTTTATGGTTGAAATTAGAATTTCACGGTTGGCCCCTGTAAAGATATAATTTGAACAAAACTATACCGCAATTGTTGTTGCTATTACTTTTTTTTTCTGTAAACCGGTGTTACGCTGTGCCGGTGTTACAGACGATAAAATATCTAAACTAACGAGGTTTTTTAAAGCGGTTATTAATTCGCATCACGTTTACTATGATTTTTTAATGGCCGATAATGGGCCATATTTAACCGCGGATTAAGCAGCACCCATGATATCTTTACGTCGGTCGATTGTAAAAATGGGCGGATAAAAACCGTTCGCCGGCATACGATTTCACGTCAGACCGACAAAGACTTTAATGCACGAGCCGAACACTAACCGGCCCAGAAAAAAGAACGTATCTGAATACGGACATTTTGCAATTTCGACGAAACTCTTTTACGTGAGCCCGGTAAAATTGTTAACGGTTACGCAACAACTGGAGCATGTAAATTAGACATTTTTCGAAGCAAAGCCGGCCATGACGAAAATACGATCGTCGAAATCGAAAATGACGTCGCTTCTATGCTTACATATCACCGTGCCTCGCAGAATACAAATACAAACGCGTAAAATGCGAGCCAATGTGACACACAAAAATTAAGAACTCCTCTGTCATATAACCACGTGGCAATTAGACAATATGGCTGCGTAAGTCCGTTAAAATTCATATAACTCAGGCGGCTATGACATTTTCATTTATTTTCTTGTTAAACAGCGATATCCACATAGGTAACTTATTCTTTCTTTGCCAGAAACATTGATATGTATATGGTAGTGATAGTAATGTAAGTAACACAAATATAGTAACAATTATTCAATAAATTCTAAAGTCAACCTGCAACCATATAGATTTCCACACACTTGACTCGTTTTCCTAAAACGTTTAATAAGATCTAAGATATTTTGAGAAAATACTGTCTTAAAAATGCCGTACCCCAAAGCATATTGAATAGACCTTCTCAAATTTGTTCTCATAGGTGCTTCATAAGGTCTTGTATTATCGGCATCTCTGTTAAGAGTCATTCTTTTGCAACGTCAAGAAATGATACATTTTTTTTTGCAGAAATTTATTTGCCAGTTTTTTTTACTGAAGTGTTGTTTTAAAGAGTATAGGAAGACAGTTTTTTATTTATAACCTATGATTATATTGAAGATGAACAAATACAAATTCAGATACAAAAATTTTATTGTCTTACTTACTTCTTACTCATTAAATATATAATAATATAATTTTTACTTTAATTTTTACTGAGTTGACCGAATTTATCACTTCTCGCAATTTTTTGAAATAACGGAAGTTGTTCAGAAGTCAGTCAAAGTAAGAAATTTAAATTTTTGAATATATTTTTGTATTTTTGTTTAAGTGGGTACTCAATGTAGATGAAAATATTCAATATAATCACAGGTTAATAATAACAAACTATTACAATGTTATGATAAAATTCAGAATGTATTACCTTTACATAAATGTTGTTTGTATCCCGTTTTCTGTACTCGTGTCTTCGTTCTTCCTTCATCCATTTCGTCTGGCCGTGGGTCTGGGCTTTCCTTGCAGCGGGACTTCTGTTGTTGGTTTTTAATTTAATAAACTTGGGAAATACCTTATTTTGTAGACATTTATTGAAAAACCAAATGTTTCGGGAACATATTCGGCAACGCAGAAGCAATTTGAAATACCAAATAGCCAAGAAACCAATTTCAGCTTCTTTCAAAAGCCGGCTTTTACTTGATGTTCGACAACATAGTGTCTTGATCAATTGTCACGTGAATATATATAATTTTTTGAAAATCTGAACTTTTAGTTCTTATTTATTTTGTTAAATGGATTTTCAACAAGCAAAAGCCGCCTCAGTTCAAATTATTACAATGTTATCTTGAAAAAATAATTAAAAAAAAAAAACTCAAATAATAAAACTTCTGCGGAAGATTATCTGGAAGTTGTAAACGTTCTTATTATTTTCTCAATTTACGATTATAATTATTTAATAGTTAAATACTTACAGAAAGAATATTTCAATATTCCATCTGGATTTATTTCGCATTATGTGGTCTAAGAGTTTGATATTCGTAAGTCAGAACTGTTTGAATTCTATAAAATATAGCCTGTTGTCCAAAACTTAGTGTGTGTGTTTTAGTTTAGTTTTTTTATGTGCACACACGGAGTCTCTTAACAAAATGTTGGTAAAATCTGGCCGTATCCTGTTACTAGCTATTAATTATGTTTTATCTAATGGTCCTTTTGATTTTCATTTCTTGTAATTACTTTATCGCATCCATTTGTAAGTTTATTAGCTTGCATTTTGTAGAAAGTTACACCCAATAGAGTGCTTAATTATTATATAAAATGAATAACATTTACTTAATTTGTAGGTGAGATATCCATTTATTTATAAGTATTATAAGTGATCTGTTACGTTATCGCACTAGCAGTTTAGAATTTACCATTGCCATCAATAAGGCAGATGGATTATGGTCGAAGGACAATTCTTATAAAATGTTATTCTTTTCTTTTTAATGGGAAACGTGGTCACTTGCGAAAATTTACGTTCCCTTATCGAAAAGTCATTCTTTTGTATGCTATACGTTAAGGAAAATTTTCATGCAATGGCAGTATGCACGTTCACTATAGAAATTCTACGGTAAATTCCAATCAGTGTCTCCAGACATTTTACCTACTAAATATTCGTTAAAATTTGCAATTTTATCGAACGCGGCCGAACCAGGCAAAGCGGCCGACTCGGTATTATATAAAACTCTTTCCAAGGCCACGCGGAATGCAGCTCATTGTTTTGCCGTTGCCGGTTATAAAACTCGATATCTTCTTTGAAATGTTAAAAGACCACCTCGCTCGTCGGCTGACATTTCTGGTTTTTGTGCATACGATCAATAATAAAATAGATAATCGGTATACGAGGGTGGGCTGATAAGTCCCGGGTCTGACACAGATCGCGACTCCATCTAAATTTTTTTGCTGCCGTTGTATGGCATAGTCCGACCGAAGATAAACGGTCATGACTGTAATAATGTATAAACGTATTTATCTGATCCGAGGCATATTTGGGCCAATAAATCCAACCGGTCCAGGTTAGGAAACTGAAACACAAAATATATGTACGTATTAATTAATATTACATATAAAAATATATTAAATAAAATTAGTCGTCAGATTAGTTTTTCTTAGTTTCGCTTTTTATTATTTTCTACTTCAAGCACAAGATTAACACATTCTCTCCAACTGCCCCCTGATATTAATTCATGGGGCGGACATTTTTGAATTTATATTTTTGGTAATCGTTCAGTCTGTTTAATGCAACTACACTTGTTATTATTTCTAAATCTAAATCCGATTTTGTGTGGAAATCTTCCCTGCGAATCCACTCTGCGTCACCATTCCTAAAAACTCTTATTATTCCTTTGTTTCAGTTAACTACACTGTGCATGCCCTCTGACGTTTTAAGAAGACCCACAGACAAATTTTGCATAAAAAAATATAAATTATTTGCGGATTTTTATATGTGCCATGTTAAAGTATATTATAGTAAAGAATGTACGTCGTCTGATGTCTTTTCAAACAGTTTTTTTTAATTTCTAGAGAAGCAGTAACTGCCATTGGCCGATAATAAAGATAAAACTATGAGTGTCATATAAATTTTACCTTTATATACTCGTAAAACGATTCTCTTGCAGCACATATTCAAATGACATTTTCTTTTTGGTTCGTTACTCTCCTCTATTCGGTCGTCGAAATTTTCTTCAACCCACGGTCAACATATAACAAATCATGACTGTAACATCACTAATGGCAAAGTGCAAATGATTTTAAAATATATAACCTGTCGACACTACTAAAATGAAAATAACTCCCTGTACTGATAAACGTTTGTAAATCGGCTCTCTAATGGATTATTGTTTGGTTTATTGCGGCTAAAAGGCCTTCCATTTATTCATCGTATGCTGGACTATACTATCCTTAACCAGGTTATTACATTAATTCGTATTCATTTGACAGCCTTTTAATCATAATACTATTGACCTCTTCACAAAAATAGAAGATTTTCAAAAACCTGCAAATATAAAATACTTTCTTTTAAAGAATATAACTCCTTTTCTAGTAAAAAACGAAATGGATGACACAATTTAACAAAGGTGAGTACGAGCACTAATGATGAGCCACGCTCCAGCTAAAAGAGCGCACAGTGTGGCACAGTTGATAACGTTTGAGCAAAGTAGTTTCAAGTGAGAATTTGGTACTCTATAAACGAAATTCTAACGAATTTGTCGACTTGTGACGACAGATGAAGCATGGAGTCACCACCACACGGCAAATGGTAAAACAAGTCCAAAGAAGTCAAAGGCAATTTTGTCAGCTTACGACGTTTTAGGGAACGAAAAAATAAAGAAATAACACCTCGATATTTGGCAAACAAAACCTTGTTTCACCATGATAATGCACCAGTCGTTCCCACAGCTAAAATTTACGAATTAAGCATTGAATTGCTTTCTCATCCACCTTATTCGCCCGACTTAGCACCTAGCGACTGTGCTAGAGGAAATTGCTGTTTTACTAGTTATAAAGGCTATATAACTCAATATAATTAAAAAAAAACGTTGTTTTTGGGACTTCTCAGCCTACCCTCGTATATCTGCCCCTTCGTTTTTTGTTTTTTGGTCGAAGCGATTATATTGCCGACCGATTAAAATAAAGAAAGTAATTTTCTCTCTGAGGGAAAATTACTCATAAAGCGGCCAAGTGCGGTTGATAAATCTGTGACAACAGGAATTTACATATTCTCGTCGGCTAACATAAAGTATCGCCGGTAATTGCTAAAATTTCCTGACTTTTAATGGTTATTGCCCGGGAAAAATAGCTCGCGTCTATTTGATAAATAAATCATATTATAAATACATTTATTACAGTATTACGCGACAGCTGTTAGCAATGATGGAGCTTTTCGACATCGCCGTCTAATTCATTTGTTTTTACAGAGCAGATTTGATATTATATATTTTTTGCAAGCGTAAACATATTGGTAGTGAAAAATTATCCCCGATAAAATGCTTTGTTAGTTTGTACGTTGACGTCAAACGCCCTTAATATCTTATGTAATATAATTTATAGCCAACGATATAAGCTGGACTGTGATTTTGTCCTGCTTAACATTCCTTTTCTATTCTTTAATGAATTGAAACAAATGGAATTGTACGCCTAATCATGTTTAATCGTGTATAAGCTAAATCACTCGTAATTATTGTACTTTTAATTCTCCATAGATATCTATTTAAATATAACACCTATTAACATTTCAAAAACTGCAAGCAAGCACAACTGATTGTCAAAAAATATCGTTAGTGTCGTTAGAATTTTCTATACCTTGGAAAGTAGTCCCATTTTATAATATTTGAGTATTTTAAAAAGTAATAAATGAAATTTTAAAACGTATTTTGTTATAATTAGAATTACTTAATGAATTTGCTGCAAATAAAAGTAAATGTAAAATGAAAAATCATGTACACAATATGTGTTTGAATTTATTATGAACTGACTATTTTTCTATTTTTTCCATCCTAGTGTTTCGCCTACTTATTATTATTGTAATGAATATACAGTATGTCCAATGTAAAAAAGGGATAGCATGGATATATCGGAAACCATGGGAGATACGAGGTCAGTTAAATTAGGAAAGTTTTAAAGAACTTTATGAGAAACCTAAACTGAACGGAAAATAATTCTAACGTGAATCATTTCGGAGAAATTCAAGAAAATATATTTTTCTATTTTCGTCTGTAAATCCCAATATACACTAAATGTGGGACCAGGACACTATTAGAGCACTTTTTTAAGAAAAATGGCATCAAGGGAAACACATTTTTTCCTTCGTTTTGAGATACACCATATATTTTTTAATTTTTCTTATTGGGGCTATATTGAATAAATTCATTATTAGATTAATTAATGATGGATTTATCGTTTTATTCACACAAAAGCAAAATTTTTATAGCAGGAATTGATCGCTCTCAACAGACATTCGGAAAAACAAAAGTTTTGGCAGTCCATTGATCGCATTCTCTGCATTGGTATTACATTCATTGTTTAATCAAAATTGAAAATTCAAAAAATAAAAAAAAATAAAATAAAAATACTTTACTTACTGATGTTTTAGCGTCTTCAATTACAGCTAACAGTAAATTATTTTCAGTTTCCTTATTGGCATGCTTTATTTCTTTTACTAATTGGTTTTTTAAAATGAGCCCGTATTCCAATAAAAAATGTTTTTTTATTTCGTTGTATTCTTTTAGTGTAGGTATTTCATATACATCTGCCCACCTTCTAGTATTACTATGGCACAAGATGTAACACTTTAACAAGAAATTTCCATTTCAAAACTAATTTAAAGGCCACGTATTGTAACTGAAGTTTAACTGTCAACTATTTGTCAATAATGACATTTTATTTTTCAAAGCGCGCTTTGCGCATAGCAATAATTGGACTGTCAAAACTTTTAATTTAATGGAACTATTAAAACATTGGTTTTTCAAAACTTCTGTTGTTTTCGTGACCATTTACGGCATTTACACCGTGGATAATACACTCTAAATATATTAACGAATATTTTAGGTGTTTAATTAAATTGAATTTCTAATATTGGTAGAAGATGCATTAAAAAAAATTGGTATAAGTATATAAGAATAAAATAGATAAAATGGCAAGCCAAGCCATAATCACGAATAATAAAACATTTTTTTTATTATCAACATTTTGATTTAGAGACATTCAATTCCAGTCTGGATTTTTTTCTAAAATTTAAAAATAAAAAAAAAACTTTTAATTAACCAATATTTTAGTTTTGAATTAAATAACTTAGCAACAGCAGTAGAAAATGTGGTAGTAGTTGGTTATGTTGACATTAGTGTGGACAAATAATCGTCTTACTTAATTTTTAGACATTTTTGCGCATGAGCAGCATTTACAAATTACTCAAACTTCAACGAGTTAAAACGAGGTAAATGCAAAATTCGACATTTTCGTCAGCTCCTTTTTATTTCTTACGCAGTCCATGTCAATACCTGATGCCATTTTTCAAAATCAAGTATGTCTAGCGTATGTTATTGCGGCACTCGAAAACCGCAAGAAGAAGAAGAAAAGGTCAAATAATTAACCGCGGGCCTTTTTCTTTCGCATACATAAACAAATTATTGCTCGAACTCTTACCGATCGAATGTCAATAATCGTTAATTAACCTGAGTCGAACAATCTGCTTCGCGTAGGCGTGTCGCGTTTTTTTCTTACGGATTTTAAACGCCTGCCCAAATGATGAGAGACAAGCGATGCAATTGGCTCCGACCGCGAAACGGAAGAATTTTATAACAGTCCGCCTAAAATCGTACGCCGCGTTTTTAACGGTTTTTTCAGTAAGAAATGAGCGGCGTTTTTGGGACAACACTACTATATTTTGTTCAGTCACGTTTAAATAACCTATTAAGGATTTTTTAAATATGTTTTCCTGTTATGCATAACAGCTGTTGTTAATTTCGATTCATAACCATGAATCATGTAAAATATTTATGAGAGGCCACAATTGTTATTAAATTAATTGCCTCAACATCCTAAAATAATTGCGTAATATTTTTAAGTTTCCATACTCGCAAAGTCAAAAAAGATATTTATTAATTTATTTTTCAACAAATTTTAACCAATTCTTTTTCTCGAATTTTATTTACATTGATGAACAACAAAATGTTAACTAGTTTTTAAAATACAACTTTTTTCAAAATTTTTAGCTAAATCCAGAACCAAACTTTATAAAACAGATATTTTAGGTGCTGCCATATTTTTTTATATACGAGGTTCAATAAGTCCTTGGAAAATCCAAAAGAGGGCGAAAGTAGTAAAATTAAATAACACTCCAAACTAGTCAGCTGTTAGTTTAATTATTGTTGACGACTTATGTCAAGAACTTTCATAATCTGCATTGATAGGAGATTATTATGTCCATTCGTGGAACGGCCAAGCAAACAGATCAAGGAAAAACGTCCTTATTTGAAAAGTATGAAGATCCTGTTCCGATAAAACAATCCACGGCATGCCTGAACAGTTGCGATGACCAAAATTATGGAATTACTGAGACTATTTCTTGTTGCCATACTTGAAGGCTTGATAGACAAAGGTTTACTTCTAACCAGGTAGTAATCGTATAAAGTAATCCCTATTTTGAGGAGGTTCCAAAATCATACTTTGTCTTTAAAAAAACTGGGAAATCGCTTGGACAAAAGAAAAATGCCCAAAAAAAATGTTTTTTTTAACTGTTTTTTAAGGACTTACTGAACGAAACTCGTAGCAAATTTTTATTAATTTTTTAATCAACTGAATTTTTTATATATATCTTATTTCATTTGGTACTTTTGTATGATCTATATTTAATTTCTATTCTAAAATATGACTTATACTTGTGTGAAATGTATATCTGCAAACGCGATAACAGGGTTCCAAAATCTTCAGCCGCATGCTAATGTTACGCTTGCCAAAAAAAAAAAAAACGAAATAGAATCAATGAAAATCAATTAATCGTAAACCTCGATTAAATATTCCGACTTTGCCGAGGAGAATATGCAAATCCGGCGATATTTTAGTATTCACACGCGGTCCCGGGCCACTTCCTCGCTACATTCAAATTGTCTCGTTTACAAAATAACTTTCATTTTCAATCTAACCAACGGTGAAATAAAGAACTCTTTCGTATATAAGTTAATGCGTTTTAATTACCGTATCTGTGTCGTTTTGAATAGCTTCAGGTGATACGAAAACAGAGTTGTTTCACTTTGTTCACACAAAGGTCGTACTAAAGGTCCTGATTACCCTCAAACCTTCAAAGTCGCTTATGAGTCACACGACTGAATTTTTAATCAATTACATGTGCTGGGTACATTTTAATAACATTTTTGGAAGTATACCCAACCAGCATTTTATGGAATCACCTAGTAGTTTCGAGAAATAGAATTTATTGAACTGAGGTGGCTTTTACTTGATGAAAATCCATTTAACAAAATAAATAAGAACTAAAAGTTCAGATTTTCAGAAAATTATATATTTTGACATAACAATTGTTTCGATAACACCCTGTCTTTATCTAATGTAATATTTACAAACTATCTGCTACTATATATACCGAAAAATGACAATAAAACCTTAATTAATGTTGTTGTGAGAATTTAAGTTTAATAATGGTGAGGTATTTAAATGTAATGATCGTTAAGCAATACATTTGAATGTCTCATTTTGTTAATCTCCACGGCTTCCAATAAATTAAATTATTGTCATTTTTCGTTATATATAGTAGCAGTAGTATTTAGTAAATATTACGTAGACACGGTGAATATATATAATTTCGTGAAAATCTGAACTTTTAGTTTTTATTCATTTTGTTAAATAAAATTAAAATTGAAAAAAAGGCATTGATGAGTTAGCAGTTTTTCCAAACTAAAATTAATACAAAAATAATCAAAAATTATTACAATTTCCTTAGTTATGGAACAATTAACAAAAAGTGAAAATTTCTATAAAAAGATTTTTTTTGAAAATGACACTTTAAAAAAGAAATAATGCTACTTAAACTATTTTAATAATTTTCAATGCCACCTCTCGATACAAGGAATTCATTTGGGAACATTTGCCCATTTGTCTAAAACCGCTGTTGTCCTGTGTCATTTTCGCGAGTTCTAATCTAATCTAATCTAATAGATGCCGATCAGCACGAAGGTCACTCTAAAACTGTAACACCTTCAATTTATAAGAAAAATGTTGCAACTCTCCTGGTATGTGGAAGGTACATAAACCTTATACCATAAATAAAAATATCGAGAAAAACACCTCGTCAGATCCTGAATTAAAGGAGGTCGTTCAAAAATGATAATTCCAACTTCTCTTCCTCTACTTGTAGTAGGAAGATTCTGGCTTCGTCAGAAATAAAGACAATTTCTCAATCTTTAAAAGTCAAATTTTCGTGCTCCAAACACCAATTTAAACGGTCAGCCATATTGTGCTTTGAATGTTCTGGAAATGTTAACTGTTTTCTGCTAATTCCCGCAGCTCGCAAAAGCTGCATTTGAAGGTGTAGTTGACTCTTGCTGTGTTCTGTATTTCCTTAGTTACTCTTCCACGATTTCTGCTCAATCTATTATCTAGGGTTTTCGATTCCTGAAACCTTGAATTAACCTCTAACTCCCACCGTTCTTGCAATCTGCCATATTTTATCGAGTTGTTTATCTACATGTTCTCGTTAGTAAACTCCTTTCCATTGCCAGCACATAAATATATTAATAATAATACAGGGTGGTTGTTTCTAATTGGGAAAAATCTGAATGAAATATAAATATAAATGTAAATTCTAAAAACATCAATAGTAAGTGTTGACATTTGATAATTCTAATCCTATGTAGTACATTCAATTTGTGGTAACCAACTCATCCTTCCACTTATCATATATCATGCATTTTCAATAGGCTATATGTCTGGTGACGTTGTAAAACGTTATTTATTTAGGATTGATTGTTCGTGTTTCTATTCGGAAAATTAGAGATTACCTGCTTCCAATAATGGCATGCCCAAGTTTCAAATTACATTAGTTCTCATCTGACATATTTTTCCCGAAATTAATGTATGAGGACCTGTCTGCTAACCTTGTAACCTTCATATTTATTGGCTATTGTGTTTATCGGTTGAGGTTAAGGTTATTGACAAGTAAGATCACATATAAATTAAATAAAAAAATGGACAAGACAAGAATAATAATTAAAGATATGATGTATAATTTGTTCGTTGCTAGTTGCAGAATATATTAAATCTTTATTTTTAAGGTTTCAATGTGCTTTCATATAGCTAATATAAAACTATTTTTGTTTATAATATTCGTAAATTACTCCTTTACACAACATGAAAATTAGACACTTTACCGACGTATAACATTAACATTGAACAGAAAATTAGTTAATATATCTACGTCTTATTATCAATTTAATACTAAAGAACGAAAAAGACCTAAATTCGTCACAAACTTGATCTCCTTACATATTGGACGGTGTCTGATTGAGTGGACAGTTAATAAAAAAGCCCATTAAACACTATACTTTGCAATAATATGGTTGATCAATTCAATTCCTGTTAAAATGTTTGTCTTTTGCCTTTTGAATAACGCCGACGTAAATTGTAGGGTAAGCGATACTTTTGAATTTTTTTAAAAATAATGAGAAGTATTTTTTGCTTTTATCTTCATACCATATTGTTATGTATGCCAAGTTTCAACTTATTGTTTTCAAAGTTCTAAAAGAGGAGTGCAAAAGATACATATTCTATGAATATATTTTCAAATTCTTAGCAAATGATGTGAAAACACTACACACATAAGTTTATGATCAGTTTT